AAATAAATAAATAAATAAATAAATAAATAAATAAATAAATAAATAAATAAATAAATAAATAAATAAATAGATAGATAAATAGATAGATAAATAAATTTCCTGTCCTACATAGAGAATTACGAATAGATCTCTACTTGTGAGATGAGATGAGGCAGTATGGGCAGAGGGCCTAGAGTCTATACAACATCGGATTTGTGTGACCTTGGAAGTAAAACCCGTGCGTCCCTCTCCATACCTCCTTGGGTGGAAGTGGCGATTGGGAAGAGGAGACGACGGCGGCGTTGGGATCGATCGGCTCTGCCGAGTCGGATATTTTTGGAAGGGCTCCGCTCCGGTCTCCCGCTTACAGATGCTACGGGCTGCAAGGACTTTGCTCATGGTCGTCTTTTACAGAGAAGGATCGCGGAGGGGAGCTGGCAATCTTCTTTCGTGTGGTGCTTGTTTATCAATCGTATACCGGTCCGCTAGCCGACAATTAGATTAAGCGAAGGATTGAGAACTGAGCTATGAGCCGGAAGTTCTCGTGAAAGACCACAACGATGAGAGTTGCGTCTTGGGTCTAAGATACGACGTCTGCGTATAAATCTTGCCAGGTAGCTGCTTCTCTTCAAGCGTGCTGTTTCTTCCTGGCAGCTCTGGAACCTCTTCCCGGTCATTGCTGGAGATGGCCAGTCATCTTCAAGAGGTTTCTCCATGTAGCCTCCCATCTCTTGACAATATTATACTTGTAATTTTGGATGAATTCTTCTTATATCAGAACAGAACTCGTCGAGTACTCGTCGATTTCATTTTTTTTTCTCCCATGTGGATTATTTCGCAGGGTGGAAGAAACGTCGAAAATAAGATAGCAACCAACGAGTCATCGACCAGGTTGGGCGCTGTAACTCACTTCGGTGCATCTGTAAGTGGGACGTATCTCACTCCATAAGTTTTCTTCTTGGTCACTTCCCCTTGCGCGTCTTTTTCAACAATCCAAATGTACTGACCACCTCCATTCGGGTCCTCGACAGGAATGAAAATTCTGAACCGAGTCAGTCCTAGCATCCCACACCCCGGGAAAGGTATTCTTACCGTCCAGGGCTCTTCAGTTGGTCAACTAATTCCTGATGAAGCTTCACCGCAGCAGCTCCGACATGAATTGCATCCCAGCCGTCCTGAGCATCCTCACCCTGGGTCCAGCCCTTTCTCCCATCTCCCACGACAAAGCTTACTCTGCCATCCTTCAGCATCTGTTTACCCCGATCACTCTTCGACACGTTTCTCTCTCCCAAGTCCCGCAATGCCTTGATGTGCTCGAGTCCTACAACTTTAGCAACTTCAGTACCCCTTCCTGCATCATTCTGTGGACTTGCAAGCTCTGCCAGCACAGCCGTCAGGTATCCAGAGCCAGAGCCGATATCCAAGACTCGGCAGCCAGGCCTTAGGAAAGGGAGCAGGGACTCGGTAGCACTGGCGTGCATATGAGGTGCAGAGATAGTGGCAGCATGACCTATACTCTGAGGTGAGTCCTCGTATGCACTCTCGGGGTCTGGGCAGTAGTGAGCACGGTCGACCTTGAGTAATACCTGATCAGCATGACCCGCCAAAGACGCCGGAGCTGCTACGAAATACCTAGGTAGATAGATCACATACATTCATCATGGCATCCCGAACTCTTGGGCTGGTGATCAATCCGTTTTTGAATAGATTGTCAATAAGCTCCATGTTCGTCCGTCCGGAGCAGCGCCAAGCCATATTGTGACTCGAGATACCGCTGAACGAGCGGATGATATTACGGACGGTATGTATCTCGAGTCCGAGGTTTTATTCCGAAGCCTGAGAAGCTCCGAATTTCGACGGATTTTGTGTGGTATTGCCCTTTAATACAAAAGGTCTTGGTTCAGAGAGAAGCTGCAAGCTGCAACTAATAGGTACTTATCGTGAACCGAACAAAAGTGGCTCGTGTACCCGGCAAACGCCAAGTCCACTCAACACGTCCTTTGTCGCGTCGACGCGTCTCAGCGGCTGGGAAATCGACAAACCCTCTCAATCTCTATTCTAACAATGCCACATTCAATCTCGCCCGAAGAGCCTTTTCTATCCGACCGAAACATGTCAACAGAAGCTGCCCCAGAAAATGGAAATCCTCAAGCCAGAGAAGCATCTCCGGCAGCAAAGCCAACAGAGAAGGATGGCGATTCCCAGGAAAGCGATTCCGCACATGAGGATATGACAATGACAGACGTGGTGGCCGACCCGAAAGCAGTTCCCACAGAGGCTGTCAAGGCCGAAGTCGCATCCGAGGTCAAGCTTGAGGACCTTTTTGCAGATATGGATTCGGACGAGGAGTTTCCTAGCTTAACTGGTCAAGAAAGTAACATTAGGAGCTCTCCCCCGGGGGCGCCTGCATCCCCTTTGTATGTTCGCACTTGTTACGTGCGAGCTATGCTGACCTTTCAAGTCATATTGGCCCTGAATCGCGAGCTTCTGATCCAGAAGTAATGAAATCCTTCTACCAGCGTTTGTTCCCCTGGCGCTACCTCTTTCAATGGCTCAACCATTCTCCCACGCCCTCCAACGACTTCGGACACCGTGAATTCGCATTCACATTGCAGAACGACGCATACCTCAGATACCAAGCTTTTCCTACCTCAGATCTGTGAGCTTGGTCCCTCCTCATACGTTGCGCTCTGCTAATTACTGAAGCCTGCGCAAAGATGTCCTTCGCCTTATGCCTTCGAGATTTGAAATTGGTCCTGTGTATAGCACTAATCCCCGCGATCGAAAGACCCTTCGGAAATCGGCCGCTTTCAAGCCAATCTCCAAAGAATTGTGTTTCGATATCGATTTGACGGATTACGATGATATTCGAACATGCTGTGACAAGGCGAATATTTGCAACAAGTGCTGGCAATTCATAACCATGGCTATCAAGGTCATTGATGTGGCATTGCGAGAGGATTTTGGGTTCAAGCACATCATGTGGGTTTACTCGGGAAGGAGAGGGGCTCACGCGTGGGTTTGCGATAAGAAAGCCAGAGCGATGGACGACCAGAAGAGAAGAGCTGTCGCAGGCTACCTGGAAGTTATCAAGGGTGGAGCACAAAGTGGAAAGCGGGTGAACGTGAAGAGACCACTTCATTCTCACGTAGCGTAAGTATTTCAGATTCCGTTTCTGCTCCAGTCACTAACACCCAACAGCCGAAGTCTTGATATCCTGAAGTCTCACTTTCAAACAGACATTCTCCAAGATCAAGATCCGTGGGAGACGGATGAGAAGTTTGATAGGCTCCTACAACTTCTCCCGGACAAGACACTAAATGAAGCCTTAAGGAAGAAATGGAGCTCCGCACCGGGCCGTGCGTCGAAATCAAAGTGGGCTGATATAGATGCTCTTGCCAAAACAGGAGCTAGCAAAGCCCTCGATCCTAAGGCTCTACTCGATGCCAAGCAAGACATTGTCCTTGAATACACATATCCCCGTCTAGATATCGAAGTCAGCAAACATCTCAACCATTTGTTGAAGAGTCCCTTTGTTGTCCATCCTGGCACTGGAAGGGTGTGTGTTCCGATAAATACGAAACACTGTGCAGACTTTGACCCCTTGGGTGTCCCTACTGTTACGGAGCTCCTCCAAGAAATTGACGAATGGACAACACCCGATGGGGAAAACGGCGGGAAGACCTTTCAAGACTGGGAGAAGACGAGTCTGAAGCCCTATGTGGAGTACTTCAGAACTTTTGTTATAGCACTAATGAAAGACGAGAGAGATGTCAAGGTTAAACGGGAGCGTGATGAAGGAGCTGATGCAATGGAGTTTTGAGATGCACGCGAGGGACGGTTATCGTTGAGGTTTTATGTAATTCATATTTGCTTTTGTATTGATAAATCAGCGAAGTAGCTGCTCTCAATCTGGCGGGCTATGGTAAATATTACAACAAATCAGGTCTACCGTCGGCTTCCTTTGCTTTGTTGACTTGATCGCGATACCTTCCCTGCCAATTCCGCCCGATTTTCTTGCAAGCTAAGGAGTTCGCATCACGTGCCACACAACAGAGACGGATTTTAGTGAAGCCGCGACCGACCACCAAGGCCTTGAAGATTCCTCTACCTCACCTCGAGAGCTCAGCTGCCAATACTTCCTTTCCCACACACATACAGTCGAACAAACTCTCGCCCCCATAACAGCAAAAGAAAACCCGCCTCGACAAAACTTTAAATAACGCGTCCACAGCGGCCACTCACCAATTCAATCTCTGCGCACAAGACGGCATTCTGCGAACTCTACACCTCATCACGTCGAAGCTACCTACATCGCGAATACCAACGTCTCCGATTACCTTCTGCCCCTCGACCCTCCCCTTGAGTCGAGGCTCAATTCCCTCGCACTCTATCCCTTGCGCAGGTGAATCGCACCTTACCGAATGCTATCTCGCAGCCTCATCTGCGATCAATAAATCCTCGAGCAATAAATCCACACCCGAAAACAAGCTCACGCACAAGATCCTCGCACCACCCCGCTCCCCGCCCGCGCCTCGAAACGAATCCCTTGACACAAAATGGCGGAAGATCTAGCACAGAAGCTGGACTCTACAAAACTTAGGTGAATAACAATGACATCGGACTGTGATGTTAGGTTGGTTGTGTTGACAATCTAGCAGCGACGATGCGTCGGAAGACTGGAAGAAGGGTCTTACCGTTCCCACCAAAGATACCAGAGAGCAGACTGCGGTATGAAAGGCCTCATTTACTTCTGTGAGCATATCTAATTCTGCGTGCAGGATGTCACCGCTACTAAAGGTCTTGACTTTGAGGACTTCAACCTCGATCGAAAACTTCTCATGGGTATTTTCGAAGCCGGTTTCGAGAAGCCATCACCAATTCAAGAAGAGGCGATTCCTATTGCCCTCGCTGGCCGCGATATACTCGCTCGAGCTAAGAATGGCACTGGCAAGACAGCAGCCTTCATCATCCCAGCCCTCCAAAAAGTCAGCGCGAAGAACAACAAAGTCCAGGCCCTTATTCTAGTCCCTACTCGCGAGCTGGCAATGCAAACCTCCCAAGTCTGCAAGACCCTCGGCAAGCATCTTGGCATCAATGTCATGGTAACAACAGGTGGTACTATGTTGAGAGATGATATCGTGCGTTTACAAGAGCCTGTCCACGTTATTGTTGGTACTCCTGGAAGAATCCTCGATCTTGCTGGGAAGGGTGTTGCCGATCTCAGCGAATGTTTCACTTTCATCATGGACGAAGCCGATAAGCTCCTTTCTCCCGAATTCACACCAGTCATCGAACAACTACTCCAATTCCACCCCAAGGAGCGCCAAGTGATGCTCTTCAGTGCCACCTTCCCGATCACAGTCAAGACTTTCTCCGACAAGAACATGAAAGATCCATTTGAGATCAATCTAATGGACGAACTCACTCTGCGCGGTATCACCCAATACTACGCCTTCGTTGAAGAGAGCCAGAAAGTCCACTGCCTCAACACTCTCTTCTCAAAACTCCAAATCAACCAATCCATCATCTTCTGTAACTCCACCAACCGTGTCGAACTTCTTGCTAAGAAGATCACCGAGCTTGGCTACTCTTGTTTCTACAGTCATGCCCGCATGATGCAAACGAACCGTAACCGTGTTTTCCACGACTTTCGCAATGGCGTCTGCCGCAACCTGGTGTGCTCCGATCTTCTCACCCGTGGTATTGACATTCAAGCTGTGAATGTGGTTATCAACTTCGATTTTCCGAAAAACGCCGAGACTTATCTCCACCGAATCGGTAGATCGGGACGTTTTGGACATTTAGGTCTCGCCATCAATCTCATCAACTGGGATGACCGTTTCAACCTGTACAACATCGAGCGTGATCTTGGTACCGAAATCTTGCCCATTCCCCCAAGCATCGATAAGAATCTCTACGTTTATGATGCTCCAGAGAACATCCCGCGACCTGTTTCAAACTTCCAAACTGTTCAGAGCACTCGTCAACCGTCTAACCGCGAGTCTTCATCGCGTGACCAACCACCTCAGCAGCAAGCCGGAAACCAACGCACTGGCGGGTCAGGTAACTACAACGCTGGACGAAACAACAGAACGAACCCCGGTCAAGAGCAAAGACAACCACCGAACCAACGCCAAGGTCAAGCCCAGGGCTTTTCTCGGGGCGGCGGCAATTTTGACCAGGCTGGTCGACGAGGCGGCGGTAACCAGGGCCAACGTCAGAATGGATACCAAGGGCAGCGAGGCGGCCGTGATCAATCCACGCCGATTCAATAGTTCTCGACGGCACATAAACGATATTGAGGAAGCGGTGTTGACTCTGTACATATTACCTTCTCGACACCAGATTTTCGACAGACTGGAAGGTCGAGTCCACATAGCTTTTCTTCTGCAGATCATTCTGGATATCAGCCAGTCTAGGTTTGCGTTGGGGAGGCTATGGACACTCGACCATCTTGTTGTACTATATGACTTTTCTATTCTTTACTTTTCTTACTTTTCTTTGCTGGATGCCTCTCGCCAACTGGGCCGCACAGGTTCAGCGACCTGGATCTGTTATGACTGGATGGCTGGCGTTTGCGGCGTACGGACGATATTTATCGCCTGGGCGATCTCTGGAGTATGGGCTATCTCCGCCAGAAGGGGCATGGATAGGCTGGCGTCGGCAGAAAGATCGGTCTGCTTTTGATCTTATCGCTCACGATTCGTGAGCCGTGGTAAAAAGATATGTTGCATGCATTTGGGCATCTTTGAGCATCGTGGCGATATGATACCTGGACAGGCTGCGGGATGTGGTGGTTGGGGGGAGGGGTGTTGTGGGTTTCGCAGAGCAATGATGGTCACTTCTCATACGCTAGAAATGGGAAGCTTGACATCCGGGATGAGGGGGAGTAAAAAAAAAACCAACAAAAAAAAAACTTTTTTTTTTGAGGAGGGCGCTGGGGAAAGTACCGGTTAGAAACGAGATTAGGCTCGTTAGCTGGGCTTTTCTTTGGCAAATACACTTCTTCTTCTCACTTGACCTGATCCTGCGTGAAACTTGGGCCACTCAACTTTGGTTTTTCTTTGTGTTTTTTCTCATGCGTTTGAACATTTTTTCGAATTTTGCATGGTAGAGTCCTCCCGGCCCGCGTCGTGGAGAAAGCGCATATCTTATCGATCTGCGAGAAGTACGTGCATTTCTTTCCTGTCCTGCAATCGGTCTGCCCGTACTGTGGGCTCTTGAAATCTGTTCCTTCCTTCCTTCCTTCCTTCCTTCTCCATTCCTGGTTACATGGAAAACCAAGAGCGCCCGCACCTTCAATACCAAATCCGGCTGCTACCTACATCAGATTCATCTGCCTACCATGTACTAACATAATATACTTCTGCATACATTAATGAAACCTACAAGACACGTTACAGAGCGGGGAGCTAAACTACTTTCTGCAACGCCAGTTGAATGCAGCCCATTTTCGAGCGAGGCGAAGATGGCGTCCACTGGGTACTCGCTTTTCGCGTGGGGGAAATGTCACGCGCTGCTTCTCCTGCTTGCTTGCTGCAACCGGCGGGATATACAGAGTGATTCGTGAAACCCACGAGGATTGTCAGGATCGTTGAGCTGTGTATGTGCGTACGTACATACGTGAGGTGCGTGTGGGTTAAGTGAGAGAGAGAGCTCGGGTGGGTACAAGGCAAGGCAAGGCAAGGACAGCAGGTTTGATGGGGGAAATCGGCCTTTGATATCAAATTCAAATTCACACGTGTAGGATTGGTGTAGGTACTTGTCCTATCCCGGCAGCGGGCTTGGGAAGGGCTGTTTCTATCGGTGAGTTGACGTGGGAAAATGCTGGTGCTATACTATCATTGCGCGATGTGCGGTCTTGATGATGGAAGGAGGAGAGTAAACAAACAGACAAACAACCGAGCGAGTCCTTGGAGTGGCTAGGACGAAATGAAATGAAATGAAATAAAAGCACCATTTACTCTGGACGCTATAGAGCTATTCATGTAACAACGAATCATTGCTAAGCAAAATGTCACGAATCCTCGCTGGTCTTACTCCAGCTGTCATCGTGGTCCAGTGATCTCTCCTGCTTGGTATCCTCGCCGTGGGGATGGATTTATATTGACTCCTATGTTTATCGGCAACAGTAGTGCTTTAGTCGACCGAGAGAGGACGCTGGCTTTCGGCTCTACTATGAACAATCACCACGCTTGATTATCAGCCAGCCAGCGTTCAGAGTTTTGATTGTGACTCCATAGCAAAATGCTCGTATATGCATTTCATGTTAGTCGCACCACGTATAACTTTTACAAAGAGAAAGACCCATCACCATTTCGCCCAGTATCTATCTCCCAGACAGACCTTTCCCAGACCAAGTAGCAAATCGGCGAGTACAGCCAGCTAAACCCCCAACGCCACCAGATTAACCGAATAGTATCTACAAAGCCTTGATACTCTGGAAGAAAGGGTTTGTCAAGAGCCTCTCATCTCCCTTCACCAAATCCCGCATCTTGCCAATCTTCTCCTCCTTGCTCAAGCTCTTACCCTCGCATTCCTGCTTCCACTTCATAAGCACATCCTTCAGCAGCGCACTGCCCTCTTCTACATCTTCCTTGCCGTACGTAATAGCCTGTCCCTCATGCTTGCTTGTGAAGTCCTCTAGCTCATCCGCCTTCCTCTTCGCCATGTTAACCACCTTCTCTGGGAAGCGCACAAGCTCAGCAACGTGGATACCGAAACTCTGATCGCAGACCCCCTCCTCCACCTTGTACAACAGTGTAACTTCTCTCTTTGCTTTGCCGTTGTCGTCAATATGCGCAACAACATGCAAATTATGTACTTGGGGATACTGCTCCACGAGTGCAGTCAGCTCATGGAAATGCGTAGCAAACATGGAGAAACATCCGATTTCCTTAACGATGTGCTCAGAGATTGCCCACGCCAGTCCGAAACCATCATATGTGCTGGTACCGCGCCCCAGTTCGTCGATGATGATGAGGGACTCGGAGGTCGCGGATTTGAGGATATTGGCTGTCTCGAGCATTTCGGCCATGAATGTCGAGACGCCTTTGAGTTGGGAGTCGCTGGCTCCAACGCGGGCTAGGATGCAATCGAATATTGTGAGCTCAGCCTCGTCGCAGGGAACGAAGCATCCGATTTGAGCCATTAGCGCTATTACACCTATCTGACGGATGTATGTAGATTTTCCGCCCACTGAAGGTCACGGGGGAGTCAGCAATTGCTCGATTGAGAGCATCTCAGGAATAGCATGCTAGAAGGATAAGACCTACTGTTTGGACCCGTAATTATCAAGAACTCGGACTCTCCTCTCTTCAGCGTAACATCGTTTGTGATGAACTGAATGTCATCTTGCATCTCCATACACGGGTGCCGAGCCCCCACCAACACGGTATTCCCTTCACCTCGTGGATGTATTTTTGGTCGAACATACGAGGTCGGCGCATGTACAGAGCAATGAGCAAAGCTGATGATCACGTCCATATGAGCCAAGACGTTCGCCAGGAGCTCCAGAACCGGGCAGTATGAAGCAGCCACACTGACCACCTCATTAACCAAACTGCTTTGAGTACGGTTGTAGTTTTCGGAAAGCTGATCAAACTCCCGTCGAATGCTTTGAAGTTTCTGTGTCGTGAAGTAGACTCCGTTCTTCTGTGTTGAGCATTCTTGGTAGTTCCTTTTGTTGCGGATACAGCCGGCTTCAGTTCTGGTCAGTCGCAAGCACCAGCCATGTTGTTTGTGGTTCTCCAGGAACAGTTTCTTGTCCATTTCCTGCCCAAGATCCTTGCTGGCAGCTCTGTGCTCCTGATCCATCTCAACCTTCATCTTGTCGAGCTTCTTTCTGATAATCCGAAGCCCATCGTCGAATTCTGGCTTGATAATGTATTCGTGATTTTCGGCAGCCTGTAGATCGACGGTTGTCTCTACCATCTCCTGTAACTTAGCTAGACTTTCCAAGTACTCCCTCAGCTTCGAAGTGTAAGTCTCCTCCAAAGGTCCCTGGTACTTCTCGTCCATGACGCCTTCCAGAGCACCGATGAAGCCTGGCAACGACAGAACAACTTGAGAAGCTCTAACGACATCCTCAAGAGTTGCGAGTTTCTTCTGGAATCGTTTCGTCAATCTGAAGAGATCTGGGATCGAGCGCATGTGCTCTTCTTGAATGGTTTGTCTCAGTTCTGTATCCTCAACAAATGCTTCCACAAGCTGTTGTCGCTTTTCAATTTCATCCCTGCTCATCAAGGGTTGCTTGAGCCACTGAGACAATAGACGTCTTCCAACAGGGGTTTTGCAGTGGTCAAGTAATCCAAATAGTGACATGGTCTTGGCGCCGTCTCTTGGTCCAGGCATCAAATTCAAAGCCTTCAAGGCCGAGGCGTCCAGTTTCATGAATTGAGAAAGATCGTGCTGGTAGAGTTGATATTGGCCAAAGTTTGAAGAGTCATGCATCACTCCCAGATACTTGATCAAGGAAGCCGCAGAACCCATGGCAAGCTTCAAGTCCGTTTGTGGTAGAGTTCCTGCAGCTTTCTCGTCCTTCAATAACCTAGCTAGATCCTGGTCGATATCCTTTGTACCAAAATCAGCTGCTGGTCGTTCCGAGATAGCTATTCCACAGCTGTCTATGATGGTTTTGAGTTTGGTCATCTCCACATCTTTCTCAGACTTGTCCACCTGAATTATGCATTCCTTCACACCCAGTTGAATAAGGAGAGACTCGAAATTCGAGTATAAGTCGTTGTCCAGAAATTCGGAAACGCCCAGTTCACGGACACTGGCATCTGCGAAGCACACCCCAACATTTCTAGCTTCCGAAGCTTTCGCCGAGACTTTGACTGCCAGTATAATAGGAGCTCCATCAATCTGCCCACCTAGCTCCTCCTCGATGTCCTGCAAATTTCCTGGTGACGCTTGTTTGGTGATCTTCCAGTTCATCCGGCCAGTCGTTCCCCATACTTCCACTCTCTTTCCAAGACGAAATAGAACCTCTCTTAGAAGATTTCTGTAGACCGTAATAGTCATCGTGACTGATGGAAGGCCGGTCGAGTCATTTTTGCCCAATTGTCGCAACACCGAGGTCGTTTTGTACACCTGAAGTCGGTCAACCTCAAGACGATATGTATGCGGAGTCTAACCCACTGTTCGGGCAACAAAGGAAGCATCTTCACCATGGGCGGTATACCAATCGCCGCGGTCAAATATTCGAATAGTCTCATCATCTTTAGCTGGCAGTGATTTGAAGAGCTTAATGAATCCGCCTTCATCGTCAACCTACGAAGGATAATTAGCAATGCATTGTGGTGATAAGTGGGAGAAACCTACCTTCAATTCCGGACGTGAAGACATGTTGGAAGTATGGAGCAATGTCTTTTCAAAAACACCGAAAGTTGTTGTACTCAAGTGAAATGCTAGGTTGAAACGCGGAGAGGTACACGAAAATCTGCATATGTCTAGGAGACGCGACGTGAAAGAGCTAGTCTCAATCAGGCCTTGCATGTACACCGCCCTGGCATTTTATTTCTATATTTGTAGTGACGTTTGCTCCCAATCAAGTGAGCAGCGCAATCCACCCAACAACATGGCCGAGCTTGAAGAACGACCCTCCAAGATCCGGAAGATAGAATTGCCAGATGGATCAAGTGAGCCTTTCCAAGGCAATTCTTCAAACATGAACCTCCTGGACGAACTTCCCAATGGTCAGGCCGAGTCCGCAGTCAGCCAGGCTCCTCCTACAGAGGAGAACCCGCCCTTATCCAAAAGCCAACTGAAGAAGCTCAAGAAAGCCGCGCATTGGGAGGCTGGTAAGGAATACCGCAGAACGCTCCGGCGAGAAAAGCACAAAGAGAAACAAGCGCGCAAGGCCAAGGAACGAGAGGAAATCAAGGAAAAGGTTGCGAAAGGCGAGATGGAAAGACCTGTGATGGTGAGAAAGCCTGGTCCGAGAAGGCCTATTCAGGTTCCAATATCGTTTGTGTTGGACTGCGATTTCAACGACTTGATGATGGAGAAGGAGATCATTTCGCTGGGTGCCCAGCTTACGAGGTGCTACTCGGACAACAAATGTAATCCTTATAGGGCTCACTTGAGCGTCAGCTCGTGGGGAGGGACACTCCAGAAGAGGTTTGAGACGGTTCTGACCAATAATCATAAAAGTTGGAAAGGCATCCGGTTTTTTGAGGAGGGCTTCGAAACTGCTGCCGAGGAGTTGCATAGAGTCATGAGAGGACCCGGTGGAGGCAAGCTTGTTGGCGCGTTAGGTCCCAAATCTACAGAGGTTCAGAAGAACGATACATCTGCTCCTTTACCTAACTCAGGACCGGATGCGATCGATCCTGCTGCCCAATTAGCAGTAGAAGTGACGGAGTTATCCTCGCAATCCAATGGTGTTACCCAAACTCCTGAACAGCCCTTGGCCGAGGAGAATCTGGAAATAAAGCGGAAAGGATCTCAGGATACGGCCGACACAGGCATGGAAACTGCTTCCATATGCCCCAAATCAGAGCCATCTATCGTCTACCTTACCTCCGACTCCCCAAATACCCTGCGCGTTCTGTCTCCTTACACAACCTACATTATTGGTGGTATCGTCGACAAGAACCGCCATAAAGGTTTATGCTACAAGCGAGCCTGTGAGCGCGGCATCCCAACTGCAAGACTTCCGATCGGCGAGTTCATGACTATGCAAAGTCGGACTGTCCTTACGGTCAATCATGTTATGGAGATCATGCTGAAATGGCTGGAGACTGGTGACTGGGGCGAGGCGTTCTTGAAGGTCATCCCTAAGAGAAAAGAGGCCAAGTTAAGGGTGAAAAATGGAGGGGGAAGCACTGCAGAACAGGAGCAGCAAGGGGAAGAAAGCGACGACTACGAGCAAAATGAGGTTGGAGGTAGTCTGGACGTCGTGAACGGGAAGAGTGATGACGAAAATTAAGCAGAGTCTAAAAGAACGTCTGAATGAGAAAAGAAATACAGAATCTCGCACTATCTACGGACATTTTGTCCACTTTCTATCACATCTGATATGTCTCTCCGCAGGCTCAGGTTCGTCAATTTGGAGAGCAAAACGTGCTCGCCCATTTGTGACGGTTGAATTAAAGACTTCCATGTATATCACAACTCCCCCAAGTGCCACACTTATCCCTCGTCGCCAGGCTCCCGTCCAAAGAACCCACCCATACGCCCCCCTCTGTCCACAAAGATGACAGGTTACTACCGCTTATCACCCTTCCCAATATAAACCTCCGCCCTTTCTGCCTTCTCCTTTCTCGCAAGCGTCTCAGGCAACGTCCTCATTAACCCCTCCAGTCCTTTAACACCCTTCCCCCAGCCCCTCTCCACACCTTCCTGCCTCTCCAACTTCCCGACCCCCAAGTCCGCTTGCTTCTCCTCAGCCTGCACGCCCTCTTCCAGCGCATTTAGTACCCCCTCGTCAGCCTCTATCCCTTCCTTATATTCCTTGTTTATTGTTTGCGCAACCTGGGCTGGTACCTTCCGGCGCAAAGAGGCGATTTCTTCAATCAGATCTTCCTCCTGGCGCGCAAGGTCTTTGGCGCGCTCGAACAGTTTTGCGTTGAAGGGCTCGTGCTCCTCGATCTCTAGCGTTGGGTTCGTGGATGTATTGCTTAGCATGGACTTGAGAAGATCTTCGGAAGGGTCTAGGCCATTGATAGTGATATTTTCGGAGGCGGTTTGGAAGACGTTGTTGATGTACTGCTTTCGTCAGTCTCATCGCTGGAGCTTGGGGATATGTAAATATATTGTTGACGCTGGAGGATCGAGTTTGAAGGGAGAGGAAGGTGGCGCACTGCATGGACAAGCTCTTCAACGCGCTCGCGCAATTCGTCTTCCCCTGCGATGGGCGGCAGGTCCTTGTCTATCTTCTCGTTCGCGGCGCGTCGGATATTGGAGATGAGGAACTGGAGGTCATCGGGAGACTGCAGCTCGATTTTCCTTTGAAATTCGGCCATGTTCTCTAAGCCCAACTAGCTGTCCCGTCGGGATGTTTGATATTCGAGTTTAGCGTACGTACTTGTTGATTTGCGATAGAATCATGTTCTTTGAATCCGTCTCGGAATTGAAATTTCCCATCTTTAGCTCCGTACTTAGAAGAAGCGGCCGCTTCCTTGGCGCGTCGATACTTTCGGCACTCCTTATCTCATTCCTTATCGTTTGCGGGGGAGACTTGGCGGGGTCAGCGAGCTACCGGTACTCCGTAAGTAAACAAGGAAGAGGGAAAAGTGCCGGATTGGAGTACAAGAAAGACGTGGTTTGATCCGGCATGCAGCGTAGGAGATACGCGGCTACACAGCCAGCGCCATTTGCTGGGCTTGCAGCGACACGAATCTTTAGGTGCAACATACTTAACAATACACTTTCAAGCTGGAAAGCTCGGTATACGATCTTCTTCTCTGAGGCGTAACGACCGTTCTTCCAGCGAAAGCTCGGATCATGATATCAGTTGAACCAAGAATGACACTAAGCTGGATGTTCATGCTCTCAAAGTCAATGCCTCGTCTCAAAAATCTGCTGGTCAAGGTTGGCCGTGTGTTGATTAACTGCCTCGATTCGACGGCTGTCTCAGGAAAGCCAGCTGTCCCTGCTACAACAGACATTCGCCGTTCATCCAATTCTGTATTTAATTCAATTTCGGGTCTGGGTTCAGGGGTTTGTGATGCTGCAGCTTTTCATATCTCGGCGCTGTTTCGAGCAGACCGCCTCGCAATCACCTACCTGCCTTATCTCTAGGTTGCCTGCCAGTCAACCTTCCACATGACTCCAAATCCGGTAACGAGAATCACACCGGCATCACTCTCAAGTTCGTGTATATACTGCTGGAATGGCCAAGGCAGATTCATTGCAGTACCGAACCGACTAGGTAGAGAGTGACGCCCATAGAATCCCTTCATTCAACCAAAACCTGGATAAATACCAACTCCATGATCCGTCCGAACCATCATTGCTGTAATCATTGTGTTATCATATTTAGTAAACGCGTTCATAAACCTCGCTCCCAAACACTCCTGTATCCATGTGAATAATATGTTCAATCCTGCGCCAATGTGCACCTGTATTCTGACCTTCAGGAGGGTATATCGTTCTGGTCCCAAGAATCGATAAGACTGTGGTCTATTGGGGAAACATCTTCTTGATCTCCTCGTCGCTGAGGCGTATCTCGTGCACAGGATCTCGCTTTCGCTCGAGTGATTCGAAGTTTGATTCGATGTAGGAAGGAAGGAAGATCTCTGAATATGTTGTCAGCCAAATATGCCTGGTACAGTCCCGAAACAACGAGGCCTCCATACCTGGGTTCCACTCGTACCCTTGGGATGATCTGACGCAAGTGATCTGTAATTATGATTGTTACTTGTGCTCTGGGATTTATGGCAGTGTTTGGAGTTTAGGAATACATACCAGACGTGGCACTCCGTCGGGATCTCCTATATTGATTACAGTGTGTTCTTGCTTCGAGAGAGAGGAGCCTGTCCAAAATCAGTCATCTATCAAAGAGATAGGGTAGATCCTGGCCCAATGTCCTGCAGCCTTTGAGGAGCGGGCCGAGTCGATTTATAGTTTTGGAACGATAGGAAAAGAACAACGAGATAGTACTCACTCAATAAGCTGCGTCTCCGATCATGTCCGTACTTCGAAGTCGAGGAAGGCGTTGTCGGTTTTTCTTGTGGTTGCTGAGGAGTTCTTGGTGAGCTAGAGTATGAGCTGCTTGAGGAGCTCGCAGCGGCCTGGGATTTGCTGCTTTCACCGTAGCAGGTCCTTGTCGGAATGGTGATAGATGAAGACATGGTACACTGCTAGAAAGTAGAAAGCGAAAGAAGGTAGTGAGCGTTAGAAACTTTATCTGTTGTACTTCGTAGGAAAGCTGAAATGTTGTCTTCTGTGTTGTTGTTGAATGATAGTTTGGGAGCGGAACCAGACTCAAGGGGAACGAAGTCGCATCACGGGCCCTAATCTCCAGGTTCCGCGGGGGCTAATGCCGAAACGGTTAGCGGCTTGAAGCTGTTCGTATGTGCCTAGGTGCCTTCGCGACTTCACTGGATACAAACTTTCAGCATACTTGGACTTCGGCGACCTCACATCTCTCAACACGATTCACTTCTACATATCACGAAATCGCAGCCAATATGGGAGAGGTCATGACGGAAAATCCTGTGAACCAGGTTCTGCCTCACCGCAAACAAATGCCATCGTCCATACCAAACATCGATTCCCTGGAGGGTCTAGGAACAGATGGCACCGATGAATACTCAACGATGAAGAAGCTCCAACGGCATCTAGAGTGAGTTTAATCACACATTAAGTTTTGGGAGGCAGTTGCTGATACGGACACAGATATATTCATCTTCAAGAAGAGTACATCAAGGATGAGCAACGGTACGTCCTCACGAGTCGGCTTCCATCGAACGATGGCTAATTATTTCGCAGAAGCTTGAAGAGAGAGCTTGTGCGTGCGCAGGAGGAAATCAAGCGGATTCAGAGTGTGCCGTTGGTAATTGGACAGTTTATGGAGGCTATCGACCAAAACACTGGCATCGTACAGTCCTCGACTGGATCTAACTATGTTGTCCGAATTCTCTCTACTCTCGACCGCGAGAAGCTCAAGCCATCATCCTCCGTCGCTCTCCACAGACATTCCAACTCCCTCGTCGACATTCTCCCACCTGAAGCTGATTCTTCTATTGCCATGTTGGGTGCTGATGAGAAGCCGGACGTCACGTACGCGGACGTTGGTGGCTTGGACATGCAAAAACAGGAAATCCGCGAGGCAGTAGAGCTCCCTCTCACTCACTTCGACCTCTACAAACAAATTGGTATCGATCCCCCCCGCGGTGTACTCCTCTACGGCCCTCCGGGAACGGGAAAGACTATGTTGGTCAAGGCTGTCGCAAATTCTACCACTGCAAACTTCATCCGAGTGGTTGGATCTGAGTTCGTGCAGAAATACTTGGGAGAAGGTCCTCGGATGGTTCGAGACGTGTTCCGTATGGCCCGCGAGAACTCCCCAGCAATTATCTTCATTGATGAGATCGACGCCATTGCCACCAAGAGATTCGACGCCCAGACCGGTGCAGATAGGGAGGTGCAGAGAATCCTGCTAGAGTTGCTCAACCAAATGGACGGTTTCGACCAAACGTCCAATGTCAAGGTCATCATGGCCACAAACCGAGCCGACACCCTGGATCCTGCCCTTCTGCGTCCTGGACGTCTGGACAGAAAGATCGAATTTCCCAATCTCCGAGACCGAAGAGAGAGGCGTTTGATCTTTACCACTATCGCATCAAGGATGTCCCTGGCTCCTGAGGTCGATCTCGACAGTCTCATCGTCCGAAACGATCCCCTGAGTGGTGCTATCATTGCAGCAATCATGCAAGAGGCTGGGTTGAGAGCAGTCCGCAAGAACAGGTACAACATTATTCAGGTCGATTTGGAGGATGCATACTCTAGTCAAGTCAAGGGCTCGCAGGAGAAAGACAAGTTTGATTTCTACAAGTAGGGCAGTGATCGCGATGGGAATGTACGGGAGGCGCGCTGGATAGCGATATCTAGGTGTTCTGGCTGGGAAAGCGGTGTTTACGGATGGACGTGGAAGTGCCACAGCATAATCTTGATATTCGATTTTCAAGTGTCCAACGGGGTTCTGGTGGACTGACTAAAGCGAGTGAGGGCATTTTCTTTTCTTCTTGTGTACCAACAGGAGAAATACTCTAGTGTAAATTACAGATCCCGCCTCCTTGCGATTGTTTCTCCGCCCTCCACCCGGCCCCCCGTTGTCGCCCGTGTGCGAAGAAAATGCATGTGGGTTTCCTGCGGGACAGCAGAATTGACACAATATACAATTCTGTTCTTCTGTTCTACTATGATACAGGTCGCGGCTTAGTTAGACTGCAAAATCCGATGTTATGAACCGATCAGCACTTTCTTCGGTTCATTGCCCCGGACAACTTCATTTTCCAAGACGGTATCACGGCATCCATTGAATAGGTAGTTTGGCCTCCTGGCGGACTGAATGACAGCATGGTCAGCCTCGTACTAGCGTATAACTAAAATTAGACCTTGGCAGTGCGGATGGTGACTTGGATATTTTGATATTTCTCACGAGAAGGATGTATTAACATCAACATCAGCCTCAACAACACACCATGGCGGACTCTAACAAACGGAAAGAGAGACCGAGAGGTGATGGAGATGGCCGAGACAGCAAGAAAAGTAAGGTAAGTCATGGATTTTGTTCCATGCTATCTGATGCGGATTGGATATGATAGACCATGAATGACATGGTGTTTTCGAGTTTGAAATTATGTTGAGGCTGTTTCTTGCATCTGGCATCATTCTTTTCTGAAGAGTGCATTGTTTTGCTGCTATATTAAATTGAATATATGCATATTCCGTCACCAGACAAGCTTTCCCCTTCCCTCTCCCCCGCCCCCCGCCGTCAAATTCTAGTCTAACATTGCAATAGCGAGGAAATGGTGGGAAATGGCAAACGCCACATCAGAAAGCAAAAATTGCTCTTCGCGGAAGTGGGCATATTGAACCTGGCAACAGCGGGATCTGGGCAACATGCGCGAAGAACCAAGAAGGAAGAGCAACGGAAGAGCTGAAGGTGATGTTTGACGAAGCATGTTCCCCAGTTCGTTGATAAAATCCAAGTGTCTAACGATCATAGTGTGCTGAGCGCTTCTATGGCATCAAGCCGAATTCCGAAAAGGAAGACGATGATGAAGACGACATCGAAGCATCCATTCAAAAAGAACTTGCCGCTATGGACAGCAAGAAAGGCGAGACAAAACTGTTCTCACCAGTTCATCTCGATATCCCATGTGTCCTCTTCTTCAAGACCCGGTCACCGATCGATCCAATCGACTTTGTTCACAAGATCTGCGAAGAGATTGTTGCGAACCCAGGTGTACGGAGAATGAAGTATGTCAACCGATTGACTCCGATGACGCTGATGGCGAAGGCAACCGAGAAAGGTCTCGAGGATCTGGGAAGGACTGTACTTGGCGAACACTTCAACATGGTTGAGCAAGCCGTCCATGAAGACGATGCGAAAAATGAGACCTCTGAGGCGAAGCCAAATCATTCGGTAAGTGAAGCTTGCCCCTGAGCAGTTTTGGCCCGGCTAGGACCGAAATTACAGCCGGGCAGTGTGCTGTTATGCCCTGTACAGGAAGCCTTTGACGAAAAGAGAATATTGAGATATTGACATTTGAACATTTGAACAGTACGCTATTCGCCCGTCAACGAGAGCCCACACCGCCCCTCTTAGACGAGATTATCTCATCAAATCGATAGCATCCTTGATATCAGATGTGCACAAGGTTGATCTCACAGCTTCGGACAGGATTATTGTGGTCGAGGTTTATCAGGTCAGTCTCCATTCAGACTAACACTGGCTTGCTATGCCTGTGGCAGATGTCAAGCTCGGCTCGTTCCCAGTAGACTAATACGATCCTTTTAGTCCGTCTGCGGAATGAGTGTGCTGGGTAGTGACTGGGAAACACTCAAGCGATACAACATCGCCGAACTCTACAAAAAAGATAAGCTAAATGAAACGCCTAGTCCGAAGGACGAAGTTAGTGCACAAATCGCAACACAATTCCAGGCCGAACTTTGAGCCGGGTGGCTTGGTGGCTTCGGAGAACCAGCAACTTGGGGACCTCATCATCGAGACCTAATCAAGGTGGTAGTTCTTCCCTGCGGATGCGGGCCGAGACCTTAGACCACGTCACTGAGATCATAGGAGAGGAGACAGAGCTTGGGATGACTACCCTTAGTAGGAATCCAAACACCTTCGCGATTTGCGGTGGACCAAACACAGCTTCTCCAGCTTCGATGCCTACATTAAGTGAAACATCCCGAGCGCTCTCGAGTGTTTGCAATCTGCACAGTTAACGATCAACTAACCCTAATCGCCATTGATTTAATGCAGCTATTCACGAGAGATTATTGGTTTGAAACAGACGATATACTCGCTTTCGAATATAACACCTATCAACTGACCAGTTTTCAGGGTTCGAAAGCGAGAATTCCTCCAGCTTAACGATACCAGGTTTACGTATAATCCTCTTCACTCGGACGACGACGACGTCGTCGACCACAGCCTGCGTCTGTGCGGATGTGGTTCTCATGGCCAAGCGCCTATCCCGGCCGGCATGGAATGTTCCAACCTCGGCAGATCTAACCCGATACGCCCAAAATTGACGAAGCCCGACGACCGCTGCAAGGGGAAGCGAGACACCGAGCATATCATCCATCATCCATCATCCATCATCCACCATCCACCCGACCCCGTACGGAGTCCGAACATCGATTGAGGTTGGTCAATATGCAAAAAGCAAAGGATTATATTGTCATGCCACAAGCTTGATACAATCAAATACATCCAGAATGGTGGGATGCAGTTGAACGTTCGGTCGCCTGTCAGACTGCCGTCGCATCGTGTGGAATAATGATAACTGACAACGATAGCAAAACAAACAAACAAACACTGATACTCCCTTTTTCTCGTCTAAATGTCTAGATACTGTCCAATCACAGCCACCAACCCCCTTCCTTCGCGACACAACCTCGTGGCTCCGCGTAGCTTTTCCATATGGGTGCATTGCATTTGCATGCCGAGTACAACATGGCATCAAAAATAATTCTTTGATATCCATGCCGCCCGCGTTTCTCGCTCGCTTGCGAGGTCTATTATGAGTGAGTACCGTAAGTAAGTAGCTGCTTCTCGTACCGAGATCCCCACACACGCGAAGCGAAGGAAGTGTCTTGCCCAGATAAGTCTTTCGACATGTCAGATATATTCCGACTGCCTGCTGTATGCATTCTGCATTCTGCATTCGTCCATCTCCATCTTCATTCAATCTTGGGAGTTTCGTTTATTCAAGCCAATCAGTAAGTGCTCTTGTTCTTGCTGTCAAGTCACGGATCTGATATGCATACGATCTCTGATGCTGGATGCAGCACTCTTCAAGCCGAGAAGCGCAGAACTCGTGGTGGGAATGGAGAGTTTCAGACAAAAGTTTCTTCTCTTTGTTCAGTTTCAGTACACTTAATAGACGCAACCATCCCCATTCTCCAGTATTCCTCGGCATCTGATCCCGATATCTACCTTTCGATCACTTGCAGTTTTCCAACTCTTATCAATCCCCCCCCCCAAGGCTTGCTGCATCACATATAGGGCAGCAGCTTATAAAATCAAGTTCTCCTGGTGCATTCGAAGTACGGAGCCGGCAAGGATATGATAGCCAGCAGCAGGAATCCGGACCCGGTATATTTTCTCCTGCATCCAAGGTCGGACCTCCCCCGCGTGGGCCTCCCTCCCACCAGAGCGTCGGCAGTCACTGGGTCCGTCTCCTCAACCAGAGAACCAACGTCCAACGCTCATGCCCATGTCCAAAACGGTGGTCGATATTACATGCCTGCCGTACCCCGAGAGCGCAGCCGTTGCGCCATGTCGTCCTCGAGAGTTGCAGTCCCGCCACGACCACGCCCTCGGATGCCCCTGGTGTACTCCCTGCCCGTTCAGTGTTTGAAAGAGCTTGCAGCTCATGACGCGCCCGGCGCGGCGCTCGGAGCTGTAATAGAGGTCAAATCGATGCAGCTCCCAAGACTATATAGTCTGTTGATGACGGACGAGCTGCCGCTTCTTCTCGCTATCAATCCCAGTCTTTCGGTCCGACTGTTGAGGCACGAATCTACGATCATGGCTTCCGAAGCTTGTGTTGTCCACTTTCTTAATCAGCCAGACCCGCGTTTGCAGTCAACCGGATCCCCTCGCGGCGAAGAGGAAATCCTGTCGAGCTCGATGCAGTTGCTAGGGCTGGTCCCCAAACTCCTCAAACACTCGTCAACTAGCAGGGAAAGCGCGTACCCGTACAGCATTTTCGAACCCACGGCTGGCGTAGTCATCTCGATGCTGTCTCCTCCACTAAGCCCTTCCAACCGCCGATCGGTCGACAAGGAAATCGGCGCCATGGCAAGGGCGCTGGCGTCTCGGACATCCCCTACTGGTACTTTTGGGATGGCAAGTCGGATTCTTTCCGATCCTTCCTGCAAAGCGACATTAACATCGCCGAAGGTCTCCGGGTCGAAGACTTGGTCTGAAGCTTTCCAGACTTTGCTTGAAGCAGTGTTGAGAGATGGCGAGGATATGTCGGTTTTGTTGCCGTACGAAACCATCCGTACGCACTACCGAAAATTATGCTGGCGTCTCGATGCAGTCAAGACGCCCAGGCTGGTGGTCATCAACGTAAACAGTGACGACAACGTGATGGTGGAAAGGAGGTTCAGCAGCAAAGGCGAGTCAACGAAGCCAGTTGAGACTGCGAGGTTGACGGGTCTTCGAAACTGGAGTCAAGGCATCTTTGGGGATCCAGTATTGTCCAGTTGCTTCGACGATCCCAGCGACGAGTTCATAGAGGGCTGGCAGGATGGCGGCGAGGAAGTCATCGAGGACGAGGAGAACATGAATGGCCGGTCGCTTTTGTATCAGTGTTACCGGGCCGTCGTCATGATTGTTACGGAATACTACAGACCGCAGACCGACAGCAAGAGGGAGCTTAACGGCCGGAGGAGACTGACGAGCGCTCTCAAAGAGCTTAACGAAATGTTTAACGACGAAGACGAAACGATAAAGAGGGTGCGAAGTCTATCGATAGCGGAGATCACGAGGTCACCAAAGAGGCACAAGCTCTCTGAAGATTAGATCGTTTGCAGCAGCATAGTATATATTCGGCGTTTGGGGCTGGGGGCATGCTGTAGTATGATACCCAGTGAACGAGTAATGAAAGTAGTGAGAAGATGAACATTTGCTCAAGGCTTCTTCGTGCTAGGTGATGTCGAATCCTCGTCGTCTCGAGGTAACTGCATTCCCATCATGCCCATCAAATTTCCTCCGGGCCCTGCCATGCCGGCCTGACTCTTGAAGCTTTCAAGCAGATTCTTGGCCAAGTTGAAGTCGATATCAAGATCGTCATCGCTCTCGTCATCCGAGTCTGCGTCTGCAGATTTTGTGCCCTGCTTTCCAGTGTCTGACATGCCCTTGAGCGCTGCAAGCTTGTTGGGGGTAGGGTCCAAATTTAGTGCTCCGGCCTCGTCCAACTCGGCCCCCATTTGCTCCATGAGCTTTCTGATTTCGCTGGCTTCGTCTTCGTCATCTTCTCCATCGCTGCTATGGAGCTCCTCAATCCTATTCTGGCCAAGTTGAGCCGCAGTGCTCTTTGACTGGCTAGCTTTAGCTTGATCGCCTTCCTCGTGCTCCTCTGAAGGCAAGCCCATCATCTCCCTCATCATCCTGGCGAACTCATTCTCATCGAAACTGACGTCTTTGTCCTCTTCCTCACTGTCGTCATCATCATCATCTTCTTCATCGTCGTCGTCGTCGTCGTCGATATCCATGTCATCCAACTCAGCACCGTCAATACCAGCATCGTCATCGTTGAGAAATGCTTCGAACCTCTCGACCATCTTCTTCAAATCGGATTGAGCCTTGGCATCGCCAAATCCCGACGGTGGCTCCGGCCCAAAGACGCCAGGTGCAGCAGACTTTTTCGCCTTATTCTTTCCATCCAACTCACGTTCGAAGTCTTCGAAGTTTATGTCCAGCCAGGTCTCGCTATCTTCACGGTCTACATCCTTCCATTTGGCAATATCTTCGTCAGTAGGCAGCGTCGCATCGTCATCCATCTCTAGGTCATCCAGTAGGATCTTAAACTCGCGAACGATCCGGCTGTCTCCATTCTTTGAATCCGTGACCAGCATCTCAAACCCTGAAGTGACTTTCATGCCAAGCTCTAAACATGCGTACTTCTTGGCTCCGATGTGGTCAGATGGCGCATGCTTCCCAGCACTGGATATTCTATCCTTCCACGAGACTGGTGCTGAGAATTGCTGTGACTTTAGTTGCGCGTACAGAATCTTGGTAAACCGGGTGGAGATAGTCACAAGGTCGACCGGGGGAAAGACAAGATCTGACGAGGAGCTCTGGAGTGGTTTCAATGCGACTGGATCGCGAAGATAGAAAGCTTCCACCGCGGGTGCGATGGATGTTGGCCGGGCATGCAGGAGGTATGCAAGTTTTCGTGGAATCGTAATTAGCGAGTGATGCAGAGATGCGTTGATCTGAGACGGGTAATGTCTGAGTCGGTAAAACGCTTCTTCCTCTACAAAAGGAGAGTTGATGAGCACTTCTGGGATTGTTGTGATCGTCTTGTGGGCTTCATCAAGAGTCAGGGGTCGTGACACAGGGCCTGTGGGAGTTGGCGAGGACGAATTGAGGACTGCGCTGAGTGGTATGATGTGGAGTCTGTTGTTGTTGATCCATACGCGGTTATCAGCAATTTCTGGGTTGAGCCAGCGAGGTAAGGCATTGGCAGCTTCGATCAACAAGAATTCGCCATCGGTATCGACAACCTTGATCCATAGATTTGGAAATCGATTGCTTAGCTCTTTGAGAATATATACAATAAGCCATTCATCCTCGACCGAGTCGCCGTAGTTTGTCAAGCCATGGAGGTACAACAATCCTAGGCATATAGTTTAGCACACGGAGCATGCTCTTGGCAATAGAGAACCTTACCTTTACTACTGTCAACCTCCAGCTTGAATGCGTCCCGTTGCCATATGTAATCCTTCAACAGACTTTCTGTCAATGTGAGAGCCTCCTTGCGCACTTCCTCTAATCGTCCAAGGAGTTCCCTCTGCGACTTCAGCCTAGAATCAAGGATGAAGAGAGAGTATTCGACGCAATCTTCGGGAAGGCTTTTGGGAAAGCCATCGAAACCTTCTCCTAACCCGTTGAAACTATCCTCTGGCATATCCATCTCGATATGCTATTGTATGAAATAAATGTTGGAAAGGTGGCGCGGCCAAAGCAAAAAGTCAAGATGAGGCTGGAGTCTTCGATGAGGCGTCGCTCGCTCGGGAAAACTTGGCGCTAGCAGGGGTCTTGCTAGTGTTTGCCCGGACTGAAGTGAGTAAACAAAGCCAAAGCAAGTCGCGTCCTCGAGGATCAACCGCGAAATCTTCAAAATTCACCACCGACCACTTTTGCATTTCCTTTGGAGTTAATGGCCACCACCAATCTTCTTGCATTCTCGCTCTCGGTATCGTTACAGTAATACAATATTTCGCCTCCGCTGGAGCTGCGCAAGCTCCATTTCAATTGCAATATGGTGCAAGCTGGGGTTGGGGGTCTCGACACTCCACGAACGAACATCGGAGATGAAACTTGGCTCGAGAGACCTGATATCGACTTTTCACAAGAGCAGTCTTTTATCTCGCCTTCCAAGGACAACAACAATCTCGTGAGCCAACTTCGGAATGGCGGCCGACGCGGCGCGATCAACCTTAAAACACCTCGAAGTCGCGCCGTGCTCAACGACCGGCGCAATCTTCCAGCAGGGCTAGGTGGCGGAGAGTTCACACCACTCCTCAAGAGCGCCACAAGAAACAGCGCTCTGCGAAACGGACACGGCAAAGAGAATGTCCCCGCCACGCCAGCATTCCTCAAGCCTGGAGGCCTGGATAAGATATCCGAAGACATGACTCCACTCCCTGTGGGGAGTTCAGTCTATGGCGGCTCTCGAAATGGATCATATATGGCTGGCACGCCGATGCCCGAAATTGAAAGCAGCAGCGCGGCTTCTACACCCATGGCATTGTTGCCCCGACGAAGCGAAAGTGCAGGTGTTCTACAGGATGGCAACCAATTATCATTACGGGAGCAGGAGAATGTGATCAGCAGGATTGAGAAGGAAAATTTTGGATTGAAGTTGAAGATACATTTCTTGGAAGATGCTTTGAAGAAGAGTGGACCTGGATTCAGCGAGGCCGCCTTGAAGGAGAATACGGATCTGAAGGTAGACAGAATCACCATGCAAAAAGAGCTCCACAGATACCGTAAATTCGTCGCCAGTGCAGAAAGCGATGTCGAGCTCTACCGTCAGCAATTCCTGGAGATGCAGAATAAGGTCAAGCGCAAGCACATGGACCAGGGCGTTCGCGAAGAACTGGACCGTGTTCGGGTTACCTTGGAAGAGAGGGAGGCGGAATTGGAACGGCTCAAGAGCCAAGAATCGCAGGTGGATGACTTGCAGGACAAAATAGATGACCTCAAAACCGACCTGAGAGAAAAAGATCGAGAAGCCAACGACTTTGAAGACGAGATCGACAACCTCAAAGAAGATCTTGAGAAACGGGATAATACAATCTCCGAGCTGAAGGCTGCCATGGGGGAGGCTCAGCGCCGTGCCGCGGAACTGGAGGAGAAAGCTCAAGAGCTTGATGAAGCAAACGAGAAGATCAAAGAGTTGGAACATACCGTGAAGGAATTCAAACATGAAACAAGGGAAACCATTCAGGACCTGGAGCGCGACTTGCAACGATGTCAGGAGCAAGCCGAAAATGCCATCGAGGACAAAGCAGAAGCCATAGAGGGAAAGCGACTTGCTGAGGAAAAACTCAAGCAAGCAGTCCAAGAAAAGAAAGATGCTGAGGAGAACCTGGAGGAATTGCAGGAAGATATTGCCAACAAGTCAATGACGAGCAAGGGCTTCAGTCGGCAAGTCCAAGAGAAGACCAGGCGTCTGCAAGACGATTTAGAGGAACTACGAGAGATTCATGCAAAGCTCGAGCATGATCATGCAGATAAGACTCGTGAGGCGAAGAAGCTACAAGAAAAGATCGAGGATTTCAAGCAGGATGCTGAGGTCAAGGAGCAGAAACTCAAGGATAAACTCGAGAGTGTACAGAACGAAAACATCTCTACTGTTCGAGAGCGCGACTCCTTGTCCAAGCGCGTTGAAAGCCTGCAGAACGAAGTCCACCAAAAATCTGACGAGAAGAACCTCCTCCAGATTCGCCATGACGCACTTACTACGGAATCGGCTGGTCTTCAGCGAGACTTGGCGAGATTACAAAAGACTATTGAAGATCTCGAAGAAAAATTGGACCATGAGAAAACATTGGCCCTCGACAATGAGCGTCAAGTGAGGGACTCGTACAAGAGCGAGCTTGATCGTTTGAATGATGAGAACGAGAACCTTCAGGCTGCAATGAAAGATCGCGAGACTCTGTACCGTGAGTCTGATAAGGGTTGGAGTCGCGAATTAGAAAAGCTCCAATCACAAAAGGACATGGTAGAAGACAGAGCTGCCAACTTACAACGTACGATCGACAGACTACAAGAAGCCGAGGGCAACTTGTCCACCAAGGAGTCGAAGTTACGACAGGCTCTTGAAAGCGAAAAGGAGAGACACCAAAGCCAGGAGGCTGTCCTGAACCGCCAGATCAGTGAGCTCAACGACGACCTACAAACCAGACGTCAAGAATTCGATGAGGTCCGCGTGGAATTGCAGAATGTCAAGGAAGAGCTACGTCTCAGCCAGCGTGAGCACAGATTCCTTTCCGAAAAGGTCGAGGGACTCGAGGATGAAGTTGAGATTCTTCAGACAAGTCTCGACGATGAGAGCGAACAAGCCAATCAGGAAATTGCGGCTGCGAGGCAAGAATCGGACAATCTCCGGCGACAAATCCAGACATTGAAGCAAGATCTTGCGAATGCAGAGTCTGTAGCGGCTGGGGCTCGATCCGAGATGGAGGCTTTCAAGGGCGACCTGCAAGCAGGTAAGGGCAGCAAGGAACAGCTCAGTTCCAGATTGAGAGAGGTTGAGGCTCAGCTTGCGGGTGTACGACAAGAGAAGCAGATCTTGCAAGATCAACTAGGCAAGCTCAATCTCGAGATTCACACCCTGCGTGGCTCGAAAGCCGATGCGGAGGCCGAGCGTGACGAGCTCAAGAGTCAAGTCAGATCAATGCAACGGCAAGAGGAGGAGACTTTTCGTCTGGATCAGGAGCGGGTCGACTTGCGAACTTCTAAGATGAAGCTTGATGCCGAGGTGCGACGGCTTCGAGAGGAGAACAAATTGGCTCTTGCCCAGCAGCAGGCGGTGGAGAAGGAACTCCAGCAGGAAATTGACAGATTTAACGCTGAAGAGACCCGCTTGAGTTTGGAGATCCACGACTTGCAAAGAATCTTGCGAGGCTCTTCGGAGAAGCGAGAGCTGGCATCCGCCAAGAAGACCATCCAAAATCTCGAGGCCCGTATCCATGAGTTGGAGGCTCAGGTCGCCTCTGGTGATAACCAAAATGATGCTGCTAACGAGTTGTCAATCATTCGCCACGATCTCTCTGCAGCCCGACAGAAAGAGACCGAATTCCTCCAACGAGAGGCCGCTCAAAAGGACGTGCTTCGAGGTCTCAAGCGCCAACTCACCGAACTCGAACGCAAGGCTCATGAGGCCGAAGTCTCACGATTCGTACAGAACTCCCCTCAGTCCTCTGTCAGCGGCTCCGCACGTAAATCCGAACTGATGGAAGTTCGCTCTCAGCTCGCTTCGGCTCATCAGACTATCAAGGAGATCCGCGCCCAGCTGAAAGCATCTGACAAGGATGCCGGCCAGAAGATCAATGCTCTCAGTATTGAAATTCAAGCTAAAGCTACAGCTTGGGAAGCCGAGAAGGACGAGTTTGAGCGAGCCCTTGACGAAGCCGAGTTTGCAAGAGAAGAACTAGCCGCCAAAAATTCCACCGCAGAGGCGACAATCACTCGTCTCCGTGGCAAAATCGAGCGTCTCGAAAAGGCTCTTCAGCAAGAACGTCTCAACAGCAATGAAGACCAAACAATAGTTAACGAGCGTCGCGATCTTCATGAGATGCTACGCGAGACCCAGCTACAAGCCGAGTCCCTTGAAATCGACGTCCAGCAACGTGATGAGAAGATCGCAGCCATCACATCCGCCGAGAGAGATCTCCGTGCTCAACTCAAGCGTGTCCGTGAAGAACGAGCCCAGCACCAGTCTAAGGCTGCCGCTGCCCAAGAGCAATTGCAGAATCTGGAGCGCAAACATCGTAAAGCCAAAGAGAATTGGCTCCAGGAGAAGGATATCTGGGATCAGGAGAAGAAGGTCCTCACCAAGGGCGTCCGCTTCGTCAACACATCCCTCTCCACAAATCCCGCCGATGAGGCTGTGCCCGAAAACATGCAGAAGACCTTTGAGCAGAAGGAACGTCTCCATCAGAAGGTTGTGCGCGGCTTGAGCATGCAGCTCGATTATGCCAAAGCGAAGTGTGCTCGTGAAGAGGCCTTCCGTGAGGAAGCTGCGTATGCTAAGCGATACATGGCTTTACAAATTGCGCTATTCGAGGCTTGGTATGTTCCCTCTCCCCTTTTTTCTTTCCCCTTCCCTTGTACTTGCATCAGAACAAATCACATCATAAGCGAGATTTGGCTAACCTACCTCCCCCCAACAGCAACCTTGCAGACATCCGCGCTCTCGAGTCCGCAGGCGTCAAGCGCCCGGCTCCCCGGCCCAAAAAACCCCTCACCCTCCGCAAGGTAGCCATCATGGTGCGCGCCACGATCCGCATGCAAAAGGGCGCCGAGGAATGGGCCGTCAGCCGCGCGCTGAATGATCGCATCGTCGCGAAGCAGAAGCAGCAGAAGAAGGAGGAGGCGGTGCAGAAGCACCGCGATCTGAGGGCGCGGAAGGAGCGTGAGCAGGAGCGGGGGTGGGGGTCATCATCACAGCGGGACCGGGAGGAGCAGAGAGGCGAGCAGAGGGATAGGAGCGGAAGTACGTCTGGGGAACGGACGGGAAGTACGGTTGCGGAGCGGGAGCGCGAGAGGACTGGCAGTACGGCTGCTGGGGGGGACCGGGCGACCCGTAGCAATATGGGGAGCGTCAGGGGAGGTGCTCGTAACTATTGATGGATGCGGTTGGTGGGTTAAGGCGAGGGTTGGTGATTGAACGAGTTACGGCTGTCCTCTGTTATTTTACATGCATTTCTTGCGTATGCGTATGCGTCAGGCTGTGGAGTTTGGTATCAACGAGTGCCAGGGGTATCATTCGTATAGACACTAGGGTTATTGAGTGGTGTTTATAGGGGTGGATTGGGTTGTGTCAGCGTCAGCAGTGTCGAATCAGAATCTTCAGTCAGTCTTCAGTTTGCCGAAAGGGAAAAAAAATTAATACGTTGATGGATGGAAGCTTTTTTTTTCCAGGATGATCTCGAGGTTTGTTCTTTGCCTCTTGCTCTCTCTCCCTCTCTTCATCCACCGAACGTTTGAGATTTTTGTATGGCGGTGTCATAAGATAAATCAAGACGTCTCAGAAGCTTCCTCCCCAAGCAGACAGATAAATGAAGTCCCAATCCACGAAAGACCAGTCCGTATCATCCAAGAAGAAAGCAAAGACAGAAGAAACGCCCAAGGTGCTTTTACCTATATACTATATACACAAATTGATTTCCAACGCCCATCGGCACTTCTACGAGCCGTCCCGCTATCCCCCTCCCCCCTCCCACCTATTCTCTAAAAACCACGTGCCTGACTATTCTATTTACATCACGAAGAGGAGGTTGGTGTCTTTTGAGGCAAGTTATCAGCAATGGAGCTAGACCATAGAGGAGAGGAAAGGCAGCATCGACGACGTACTTAGCGGGTGGCTGCAGCTTAGCTGCGGCTTCTGCGAATATTTAGTGGCTAGCTCGTCGCGGATGCTATTGAGCAGCTGCACGTAGCTCTGTTGCGGGTTCTTCCTCATGGCTGTGATGAAGGCCCATGACATGGCGCCTGTGGCTTTGGCGGCGATTGTGGCATCGGCTCTGTGTGAGACAGGACAGTCAGCAAGATGTTCTGAGTTGATAGACGACAGTCAAGAGGCCTGTTCCGTCTAGTCTGTCTCATTAGAGACCCAACGTGACTCGTGGCCCTAAGCCTACGCCTTAGCCGTACTTAGTACTTGGCAGATGGCGTAGTCTTAGGGCTTTGATTTTCTACTATTCTATGCAAGACACATGCTACTAGAACAGTGGCCGAGGACTTGCCCCATAGCCAGAGTGAACAATCCCACGCCTACTCAGCCTCAAAAACGCCTTCCCAGCCGTCTCTTTTGACATTCCTTGTCCCCCATGATATAAAAGCAGAACGGAAAACCTATGCAAAACAGGGAACGGAAGAATATACTGACGATGTCTGATCATCCTTGCTTCCTGACCACATGATAACGTCGGCTGGCGATGTCTTCGTAGACATGGTCTTATTGTAAGCGTTGTCACCAGTAGTGGCCTTCTTAAACAAGCCCATCAGGTTTTTAGCAACGCCGCCAAGATCACCTTGACTGTATGAAGACACAACTCCAAGAAGACCTTGCCCAGCTTCTTTTGCGAGATTGGGCTCTTTGAGCACACCTTGTGTAGAGTAGACATAGGGAAGATCGAGAGCTGTTCCGGAATGGCAAGAATCGAAGATGGCAGTCAACCGGACTCCAGGGTGTAACGGAGTCACCATTATTCTGTGCATCTCGTCATCAACAATATGGCCGACTTGCCGAAAGTCAACTGGGTAGATGACTTCGTCGTAGCCATCTCCTTCGTCACCATCCAGATCTCTAGTTTGACCTCCGTGACCTTGCCTATGTTAGCGCTTTTCCAATTTACCAGGCAAGAACTTCTTACCCGAGAAGTGGAAAAACAAGGAGTCGTTAGGGCGGGCATCTTTTACCAGCCAATGCATTGCCCGGAGGATATTCTGTTTTGTCGGCTGGCTCATGGGGTTTTGTTGGTCGTCGGTCAGGATAACCATGTCCTCCCGTTTGTAGCCGAAATTCTCGTATAAAAATGATGACATGTTCTTGACGTCGTTGATGCACCCTCGCAACTGTCCTCTTTGTCCAAAATAGTTTATGCCGATCAGTAGAGCTTTTCTCCTTCCGGTACAATTCGAGTATTGGAAAGAATAGCCTTGTGGCGCACCGCTGCCGAAGCTTTGCATAGAGGAAGGTGGTGGGGGAGGAGCCGCATGGTTACCGTGGACATATGCATTCGAATTTATCGATGGCATACCTGCAAGATTCAATGTCAGCGACTCGAATTCGTCGGAAGAGGTTCACCTACCAGGTCTGCCATATTGTGGCTGGTTATTCGGCACATTGTTGTAACCACCGTATTGCTGAGGGGGCGGCTAGCCAGAAATAATCAGCTTGTCTTATCTTCCATCCATACTACATTCCGAGCTGACCTGCGAATATCCGTATGGTGGTTGTTGGGGTGGGGGAGGTTGTTGATAGCCGTACCCTGGCTGCGGAGGTCCGTAGTTCTGCTGTTGAGGTCTAGAAAGGATATCAGCGATGCAGCAGAAGTATAGGAGCCACGAGTTCCTACGGGTAGTAGTTTGGCTGAGGCGGGTACTGCGGGGGATACTGCTGGGGCGGCGGCGGCGGCGCTCCATATCCTCCATGATATCCGGATCCTGGATACCCAGACATCTCTGTCGAGACCGGTAGTCTAGAAGCGTTTTCGCTGTTGTCGGCTAGACGCCGAAGGGCGCTCTCAACACTGGAGGATGGATGCGCGGAAAGGCGGTAGTGGACTTGATTTCAAGCTCTTTCTCGGACAAGTATCGCAGACGAGAAGAGGGGATGGCGTATCTCATACCAAAGAAGGAGGCTGGAGAAGTGTGTAAGTATCTCCGTACGTATGTATGTCTTGCTTGGGCTGTGGTGGGGAATGATGATTTTCAAAGGGTCCGGAGGCTAGAGCGGGCAGGGGAGGCGGTGTTGGCCTGGGATCGACGAGCCCGAGATGCGATGCGACGCGATGCGATGCTTGTCGGTCTCGAGATGGATGCGTGTTTTCCTTTCTTGCGGTAGTGGGAGCGGATTGCCAGACAGGTACGTAGTAGTTGTACAGCTCATGGGCGACAGGGTAGAAAGAAGGAGGAGGATGGAGTAAGTTTAGGAGTCGTGGGAGGAATCACAGCCACAGTCAGCCTGGTGCGGCTAATGCTACCGGTATTACAGAATATATTATTTGAAAACTCGTATTCCTTTCCACCAGATTCCCAAACAAACAAAAGCGTCCATCGTCAATCATCTACGCCCATACGGTCATTCATTTGACCTCGGCCGACGAGACGTGCCCCGAGCGGCAACAACCCGACCGACCATACACAACACCAGGAGCCGGGTCGGCCGGGTCGGCCGGGTCGAATCAAGATGCTGGAAGTGCCTTTTGCTGCCATTCAAATCCCATTCCCATTCCAATTCCCATTCATTCATTCATTCTTAAAAGAGGCCCCCTGCCATGAGCTACACTAGGATCACTGATGTGATGTCCATTCCTTTCTGTGGGTCGGACTCGACTCGACCTGGGAGCTCGCTTAAGATACCTCGAGTCGTCAACATGCCAGACAGATAAGCGGGTCTATCACCCTGGCACCTATCGAAGATCGACTTGCTTTTGCGTACCTTTTGTACTACGTACTTCTAAAGTTAATTGCTGGGGGGAGAGGCTAGTAGTAAGGCCGATACAGAAGTCCAAGTCAAGTGCGATGATGCATATGCATTCATATGGCATGGTCGTCAGGACGGACGGATGAAATCATCACCTTCACCTGGCTATGGAAAGCCTCTACGAACATTGCAATGTTTCGGATCTGAGCAGGACGCACAAGCAAGCCTGTGTACGGTATAACAAATCCTTCCCGGCTTCGGTGATAACTGACCTACAAAGCTATTCCGGAATCACTTCCGACGCGACTAGCATCTCTCTGTTGCATCCAATACGTGGGAGACGCAACTGTGCTGTTATGTGTATCGGAAGATATCAGAAAGAAGATATCGAAACCACGGAGCGCCCGAGAAGCTCACTTACTTGGTGGCTTGACTGAGAGCTGCTGAGCAGTTGCGCATTCAAAACCATCAACACCTGCATATTATCCTCTGTGGACCCTACTGGAGGACGCCCTCAACCTCCTGCCGCAGCATGCATATGTGCTGTTTACCTATCGGTCACGTCCCATCTAAGTAACGAGACGAACGGTATATATAAAAGCACACTACTGACTGGCTCATCATCTCCTTCCAGCCCCCTCACCACGTTCTTCACAATGATCCCAACCAATTGAGGCCTTGCCGACCCGTTAGCCCTGCAAAGAAGCCTCTATAATAGCTGTGGTCCCGTTACATGGCATGTTGGTGTAACAAAACAACACAAATCAAATCAAATCAAATCAATCGAAACCACACAAAGTCTACAGGAGCAAAAGACTTCGCTTCCCGCAGTCGATCTGCCGCAGCCGTCCATCATCCATATCGTCGTCTCCACTGCTCTAAAAGAAACTTGGGAACGGTCAAGTCAAGTCCAACCCACACAGATCTGCTTGGCACAAACTGTTTAGAGGGCGTACCGGTACATCATTACTTTCATATGCACGCGTTGGTGGCTACTGCTGTCGGACTTAGACTCAGACTCAGACGCACAGCTGTCAATCCCGCGTCATGTCATCCCCATCAGCTCAGGTCCAGGACCACAACCTCGGCTTCGATGGGGTGGCCGATGAAACCACAAATACACATATATCCGCCAGTCGTAGCTCAAGTTCAACCAGAGCTGTGCCCTGCATCGAAAATTCTCTGCGTCTGCCCTAGTACCAACTAAGCCCCAGCCTGTTCCCTTTTTTCGGCCGTAAACCATTAAGAACAACGCCCAATAGCAGCAGTTGCAAAGCGAGGTTTAAGCTTAACCAAAGCGAGCTCTTATTCTTACCGATCAGAATGTGATTTCGAAAGTGCAGATGCAGCCTAGTACCGGTACCCGTTACCCATCTACCCCTACTTATCTGTCTTTAAAACCTCGGTATGATTTAAAACCTCGGGGACTCAACTTCCGCTCTGCAGCAAACAAAGCGTTCATCATCAACCCTCAGTTCTCTTGTTTTTTTTTTTTTTCCTTTCTTTCATAGTCACCTCGGCACATATAATTTAAACCTCAGGGAGTCCTCGATATGCCTACGATTATTACCCGAGCGTGGTATGAAGAAAATTACTACGCCGCGTTCGTTGCGTGGATAACACGACGAAAAATACTAGTATCGAAATTATACATCACCCACCCAGCACACCTGGGATACGGAGCGCGTATTTGATATTTAATGATGGTCCTTGATATGTATACGGGAGGAAATCAATATTCTTGTGTACATACATGCATATAGCACTTGGAAAGAGGTGGAAGGATGGCTGGAACGAAGGAAGGAAGAGCCATGCTCGTTTGTCTAGATTTAATGGTGCAATGTGGAGGTACCGTAGCTCGCTCCATGGAGCCAAATTGAGAGCGAGCTCGCTCGCTTGCGTGAGTTGGGACAGTGAATAATATCGCCGAGCAGAAAAGTTGAAGAAGAATTTTGTCGAGGGACAGGTAAACATAGATAGATACCGAAGCGGAAGTTCAGGTTTCATGAACCAAGACTCAAAAAGGCAGTAAAACCTATCCTCTTCACTTCAGGCATCTAAAACTGCTGTAGGGAATGGATAGTATCTAACCTCAACCAACGTATAGCGTCATCTCGATTCCCAACAGCATTGAACAATGAACAGAGCCTCAGCATCCAACTATGCGATATCTAATACGCTTTTCCAAGTCAGATACCTCAATCCGCGTTCATCAATCCGAGAATAACAAATAGTGTATCTTCAAAACGTGGCTCACTGATACTAAACTTCAAAAATCCGTCAAAACGTCATAATTCATCCCAACATCAAACCAATCGCCTCATTGCTACCACCCAAACTTCTCGATCGCAACACCTACATCCCTCCCTTCCCTAATAAGCTCCGCACAAGTATTCCTCACACACCTCCCCATTCCATCTGGCCCACTCCCCACCACGCTCGTCCTCCCTCGCCTTTCCTTCCCACCATGCAAATCCACTAACCCTCTGATTATCCCTCTCAAATCCGGTCGCCCTGCCTCCTCCGTCGCGCGTGGCACTATGATCTCCGCGCCGAGGTTCTCTGCTGCTGCTAAGGCCTCCCTGCCTAGCCATGAGAGATGGGATGCTTCGTGGGTAACCCATATTAGAATGACTTTTTGACGCCGTAGTGCATAGCCAGTGGCGGATTCAGTGTCAGTGAATCGGGACATGGCCAGGAGATGATGCAAAAGTGGCCAAGCGACGGCGATGCCGCTTCCGCCTGCGACGAGCAGCGCAAGCGAAGAGTCCTCCAGCAAGGTGCGCGAGTGAGGGCTGCCGTAGGGCCCATCGACCCGGAGCTGGACTTTTGTGTGCAAACGTGCTGCGTTGAGCAGATCGCGAGAGAAGCCGTCTTGGGCTCTGATGAGCAGTTCGAGACGGACTTCTGGATCTCCGGGCTGCGGTGGAGGGGAGGCGATAGTGAAGGGATGCGCTTGCAGGGCGTGTTTGTGCGAAAGAGAGGGGACGGTGATGAAGATGTGGTCGGGGGCGTACCAGCCGCTGTGTAGAGTGGTGCTGAGGAAGTTGAAGCTGGGTTTGGGATCAAGAGTTATTGTGGAGGTGAGCTTGACTGTTTCTTCGTCTTCGAGGATTTTCATTTGCGCGGTGATGACTGTGCTTTTGACGAGGAAGCGGTAGATAAGGCGGTCCAGGATGAATATTACCAGGGCGGCGAGGACGTAGGGTCGGCCAGTGGTATGGTGGAAGTAGAGGCCCAGTAATGCAAGAATCTGGAAGACAATGTGTAGACCCAGAAAGAGTTCGTACCATCGCTGGCGGAACATAGCCAGTGATGTGAAATAGAGCAGCTCATAGGCGAGCAAAATTCCAATCCCAATGAAATTACTCTTCAATAGAAGGAAGTGAAGCAGGCTCCATCCAGCCGGCTTGAACAGAGCGTACCAAACCAGCAGGAAACCAACAGCATGTAATAAACCCTCGAGACACAATAACTCGCCTAATCGACGATGGAAAATATTCAGAGATTCATAAGATCGCCCGGTAAGTACCCGCAAGGGCTGATTTTTCGCAGCGAATAGATACAGAAGGGGAATATTTGCCGTGAAAACAAGACCGAAACGGTCGGCTAGTAGTATGAAATAATCCGGAGTCAGATCTATGTCGTAAAATAGATAAAATAAATTCAAAACTAGAAAGGCAAGTACAACAGCAGAAATGCCGTTAGAAGGCAGGATCTTGTTGAGGAGCGGAATCGGCCGGGGTTGATATATCAAGGCTGCCCTGATCGTGGATATCACGCTTGGTGGCGAAGGTGGCACACTAGACTCCAAAAGCGGCGTTTCCTCATTCTCATCGATAGCTCTACGCCGGGGGCTGAGAGTTCTGCTATGAGAAGAAGAGAGTGTTTTCACATCTTGCTCATTGTCCGGTGACCAGGTTGGGTGATTCGACCCGGAATGATCATGGATATCTCCATATTCAGCCCCTGATTTCAAGAGCCTCAAAGCCCTCCTTCGTCTCCATCTGAGCGCGGTTTTGGTCCAGTGTACAACCGAAAGGACCAAAACAAAGCCGATAATGACAGCGTGATATGTCAAGATAAACCGTCTCGAGAACAGAATCTTCTCTATCAAATTCCGGAATCTCGGATCTCGTTCTCGTGCTCGGGTTTGACGATTCCCGTTATCAGCCGGGTGGTACAGCGGGGTTTTCAAGGCGATTCGGATCCCCTCACGGAGCCATTCCGAATCCATGACTACGATACTGGGAGCCCGTGTTACACAAGATCACCTTCACGGCATCGACGAGTTTCGACTGTGGCAATGTTGATGTTGGTCAGAGTATGGAGGTAGTTCAAGATCGCTTTGAATTGGGAGATCACACAGTACTCGACCCAAAGTACCTGGATACTGGCTGGTCATGCTTCAAGTATTCCGCGCTAAGATTAGATAACGCTAGCGAGTGCTTAGCGTCGGGAACTCTTTTGTGGATTTTGGAGAATCTCAAGACCAAGACCGAGACCAACTACGCGCCGGAAGCTGTTGACCACGTTCACAATGGCAGACACGGAACCAAAGTAAGCACATTTTGCCAGATAATTCTTCAACGCCTCGCATATTCCCAAGGACTAACTAAGCCAACACTAGAAAAGAAGTGGTAGCCCCTACGAATCCTCGGGGCATCCCCTATGCGCCGTTCGTCGACAAAGTAGAGGACTATGTCACATCCCGAGCGGATGTTGAGAAGACATTGAAAAAGTTCCAAGAGATGATATCGTAGGCATCTGCCGATCGGATATGGGAACCGGGGGCTCATATCGTCATAGGAAATATCAGTTCATGGAGTCGAATCAACAACGGCGGGCAATAGGGCTAAAGGAGAAGATGCCAGAAATCAAGAAGACGCTTGATATGGTACAATTCCTGAAGACAAGAAAGGTATGCTGCTGGTTCCATGTTGGCGATCTAAGCTGATTCGTGGTTTCAACAGCCAGGCTCGGACCCAATCGAAACAACGTTCGAGCTCAACGACACATTGTATGCTAAGGCTCATGTACCGCCGACGGAAGAGGTCTATCTTTGGCTGGGAGTATGTTGCAAAATTTTATAATTAGCGGAATTTTGCTGACGTTAGTCCAGGCGGACACCATGCTATCATACCCGATCGTTGAAGCAGAGGAGCTTCTCACTACAAGGCTAGCTACTGCAAAGCAGAATCTGGCCAACTGTCTGGAGGATCAGGAATTCTTGAGGGAGCAGATTACGGTAAGGCTTTGAACGGGTTGGGGCTGCATGGTGGAGTCAATGAAATGCTTAGAACAAGGCTAACGAGGAATAGACAATGGAGGTTGCTACTGCTAGAGTATACAACTGGGATGTTACTATGAAGAGGAAAGAGAAGAACGAGCAAGAAGCACTGGATGATGGAGAGAAGGGCACGCCAAACGGTTGAATATATCAAATTACGACGAAATGACAAAAGTTAATGTTCCAGACTCTGAAATTTAGCTCAGATCTGAGCGCAGAGCCTGCTATCAAAAAAGTCAGTTGTGGAAAACTATGTGTAGTTCGGGCCCGTTTGGTCCAGCGCATGATATCTTTATTCGCGACAGGCTTTTCCCTGCGATATTCTAACATCCTCTCTCTCTCCTTTTTTTTTCTCCCTTTTTCTTTTTCTTTTTCTTTTTCTTTTTCTTTTTCTTTTTCTTTTCATATACGATTGAAATAAATTAAAAAAGCGGTCATCTCGAGCGAAGCCGCAAGATCGCCCTCGCCTTGCTATTTGAATCCTTAGCGCTATCAAACTTGCATAAGCTGAACTATACGGAGGACGTCCCGTGACCGAAATTGAAGCTTTACGATCTGTAAACCAAAGGCATAATGGAGATTCTATGTACTTTTACATTTCATTATTTCCGACCTCGATTACAAAACTCCGGGTTCTTAGGCCCAGACTTAATAATCCCCGGTGGACCAAGGTGGGCCTTACAAAAAGGGGAAGAGCGAGGAGGGTTAGCTATAGCAAGGTCTCTGAAAGCAACTAGCGCAGAACAGCCGAAAATGGTTTTTGAAAGTACCTAGATCTGGATCAGATTTCGCGTTACCGCCAATTTCGTATAGGGTGGCGAAGAGGTTTCAAGATCACAGCTATCTCGATCATCTTTTTCAAATTTGTGTCAAACGCGGAATTCGACCAAAAATTCTTGGCAAATACCCAGAATCGCGAAAAACCACCTTGGACCAGACAGGCATAGTAGGGTGTGGACTTCACCATGTGTCCTCCCCTGTATCAATTTATTAACTATTTTTATCCTGGGGCAGATCTTTTGTTTGAAAGAATGAGTTGTACAAGATACAGAGGAAATGACCTGCAGCGGCATTATATTGCAATCATCCCAGCTAAGCCCCCTTTCCTGTTTCCTCGCTAAATAATTTGCCCGTGTACACCGCTTCGTCATTACATGAGGGGCACAACAAGCCTACATTGAATGTTCAAGACTACCTATTTGTCTTCCCTACTTCTCTCCTCTGTAACAATCTTACAACAACACCATATCCGTCATCATGGCAGAGATTCCCGGTACCACTTTGAAGCTTGACTCTAAGTACGACGACTATGACTTCCCCATCGTCTCTGCTACCAACCAGACCGGTCACCCGGGCCACACAACCCCCGAGCAGGAAGCCTCTCTCTACCAACTACGAATGAAGCTGGAAGCTGCTGGCTACACCGAGAGACTCGACACCTTGACCCTAGTGCGTAAATAGCACAGCCCTATCTTCTCTTCCGTATTTAGGACTAACAACCTGCAGCTAAGATTTCTGCGAGCCCGTAAATTCGATGTCGCGCTGTCCGAGAAGATGTATGTTGCGGCACACATCCGCAGTATTACTAGATTACTAGGTGGGTTTAAGCTGACCTCGAGGGCAGGTTCATCGATTCCGAGACGTGGCGTAAGGACATCAACCTCGACGACCTGACCCGGAACTTCGACTACAAGGAGAAGCCTCAAGTCGCAGAGTACTATCCTCAATACTACCACAAGACAGACAAAGTACGGATATTGCACCCCGGCAACAATACAAGTGCTGATAGACGAGTAGGATGGCCGACCTGTATACATCGAGCAAATGGGCAAGATCGACTTGACAGCCATGTACAAAATCACCACCGCCGAACGCATGCTGAATAACCTCGCCGTCGAATACGAGAAGGTCGCCGATCCCCGTCTGCCCGCCTGCTCGCGCAAAACCGGCCATCTCCTTGAAACCTGCTGCTCAATAATGGACATGAAGGGAGTTGGAATCACCAAAGTCCCCTCCGTCTATTCCTACGTGAAGCAAGCCTCCGCCATCTCGCAAAACTACTACCCCGAACGCCTTGGCCGCCTGTACCTGATCAACGCTCCGTGGGGGTTCAGCGGTGTCTTCAACATTATCAAGGGCTGGTTGGATCCTGTTACTGTGGAGAAGATCCACGTTCTGGGTGGCGGGTATCAAAAAGAGCTCCTGGCGCAAGTCCCCCCTGAGAACCTGCCCAAGGTCTTTGGAGGAACCTGTGATTGCCCTGGTGGATGTATGGCCAGCGATGATGGGCCATGGAAGGATCCTCAATGGACAAAGCCAGCAAAATGGGAAAAGGCCAAGGATGCTCATGTCATTGATAACACGGCCACCAACCCAGCTGTAGTCCAAGCTGCCAACACTGCTCAAGTCCCAGTTGTCCCGGCAGGAGATGCGACCCAGGCTGCTCCTGCGCCACAGTAGAGTGTCTGTCATTTGGAGTTGCAGGTGTACAGTGGGTAGGGGGAGTCGAGCATGGATGAGAGAAGAAAGCAGAGTTTGGTGGTATGCGGACCTCCTCTAGTATCCTCCTCTAGTATACCTTGTTATGGGTTCGTTTTGCAGGCCTCCTGACTGCCCAGAATACAATACAGACCTTTTGTCTTATCACTGTTGCCTTTGCTCCCATAATTTTTTTTTTCTACTTGTCATGAACATGACCTCGCTTGTAGCACCGGGGTACGATCATCTTGACCTCGAAATGGCCGCATTGATTATCAGAAGAATATCTGAGTACTTGTATTATCCTCTAAAATGCACCCCGTATCGTAGAAGTCAGGATGAAATTCCGGAAATTTTGATAAGGGCAGCCGAGTTTCATTATATCTGACGAGATTATGCAAGCAATATGAATGTACGGATATATTTAAGAGTGTAAGTGATTATATCCTCAGCAGTCTTCAGTAACTTTAGATAACTTTAGATAACTGTTTATCGTCCCTCTCTCCTCCCCTTCCTTAGATCCTTCCGTCCACCCGGCAAAACCACGGCCACCAAGCCACTGGCCTATGCTCCACTGCAAAATTTCAAATTTTTGTATATAATTCCCAACACCAACGAGAAATCCCATGACAAACTCAACAAGGACAGATGGTAAGTCTCCTCAACACCGTATCTGCGTGCCCAATTAACATGTCCTAGGCCGAGCTGGTTATGGCGCCAGGTTAAGGTTCTCCTTAGCAACGATTTCCTGGTCACGTAAGTGGCGTGGGTTCGAGTCCCACTCTGTTCAGTGAGCATCCTTTTTGATGTTTTCTTTTTTGGCGGCTATTTTTTTCTTCCGCCTTTTTTTTTAAAAATTTTTTTTTTTATCCCCATCTCTCCATCCTTTCCGTTCATTTTCTTTACTTTCGTTACCTCTTAACATCGGGTCTTCCTATAGGAGAAAGTCGTTGACGTAAGTTAAGTATTCAATGCAAAAATTAGATTCGCAATACGAACCCCCCACCCCCTCCCAAAAAAAACTCGGAATATAAGAATTACGACGGTTTTGATATTGCCGTGTTGAACATAGCAGGAATACACCCTGGATTATTATTTAGGCCTCTTTCGCTTTGACAGCCGCTCTTGATATCCAGCCTGCAAATATACCTTTATCGCTTGACACTGCTCCTGAACATCTCTGTTAAAAAGTTTCGTTGGTTCGCCGGTAGCGAACGCATCTCTCTCTCATCAACGTGCATATCGCACTTGGTCACTTGCAATTGCAAAACAACGGGTATGAATGGCATCTAAATTCCACCGACTCCATGAAGCTAAGCGCGGATCACTTTTTTCTACTTAATGGTACATACAGCAGTATACGGAGGTAAGTACAGCGGTGAAGTTTTTCCCGGCCCGCTTTGGAAACTAGCTTCATCGAGCAACACCTTTCCGGTCCCGCGCTCAATCGCATGTGGCTGTTTGTCAAGGATGCGTATGAAAAGGTCGGCGAGATTTGGATTTCGAAGCGCTTGTTGAGAGAGTATGCCGGAGCGTTGTCGGGCTGTGTAGGAGGCTATTAGGAGATTCATAAAATATTGAAACATTGATCCTTTAATACAGAGTAGATATTGTATCGTCGCCATCGGCGACACGAAGCGGGGGACCGGATGGTACGGCAACTGTTCGATTAAGCTAGTTTCCAAAGTGGGTCGGGAAACTTCACCGCTGTACCTGGGGTAGGAGGAGTTCCTCTGAATGGCTACCGGTACTTTTACTTATATAGTAACAACGTTTGTAAGGAGGTTAGTGCTCCTTTGGCTCCTACTACGTATGTTCCGCTAAGCGAGACATGTCCAGGCTAAGCGAACCAGGTCGATAATGGGGAACCGACAGGTGGTATCGAATAATTATGCTATGGGTAGTGAAAAGATAAGCCCTAGTTCAAATTCCGAGTGGATATTATGTAATTCAAAGATGTTTAACCATCATTGCTAGTACTTGGTACTTATCTAGTGATAATACTAGGTCACAGGAGGAAGCTTCTGATGATATTGTGTGTATGGTTGGTATTCTCTAGAACGACCGGTAAGAAATGGAGCGAGGCTATAATAATACAGTATAGGCACCAGTGCCAAGTCAAAAGATCCGTGCGGTGCCCTGGTGGCACATGCACCCTGCTCTCCTTCCGCTTTGCCTAGCAACAGCCATTTATGACGAGGAACCTAGAACGGCAATCGCGAATTCGCCCCCACCACCAATGTCCTTCATTGTAGCTAATTCCAAGCGCAAGGAACCAAGACGACCATGCCGGGGTGAACTAAATCGTCCTTGAGAGCTTCGGGGTTCAAGGCCTTCAAGTCGTAGGTATTGATGCAGAAATCCTGCCCAACCGCTTTGTAACTATCCTCATTCGTCATCGTGTAGTACCCGTAAAGACTGCCCGTGATCTTGGCGCAATCGCGCTTTCGAGGATAGCAAGGAACTTTGTAAGCTTGTCCTTTTTTCGGGACTCTGTTCTCGTTCAATTCCAGCAGGCGTTGCTCATCAACGCAAAAGTCACCCGCGACTTGCTGTAAGGTGTCGGTGTCTGTAGGTTGGTACTCGCCGGTGCTAGAGTCCTCCTCGGCATGGCAGCTTCGGCGCAAGGCGGTTGCGACGCCGAGGAAGGAGGCGAGCAAGAAAATGTTGTTATTGAAACGCATAGTGGAGTTGGTAATTGAAGGTGATCGTTTTGAGGGATTGAGCTTATAAGAAGACTGTAGAGGACTGTAGAGGACTGTAGAGGACTGTAGATGATTGTGTATGTTAAGAGTTAGGAAGAGGAACAGCCTATCTTATATAGTTGTGAGTGCGAGGTGGCCCGGCAATTCCGTATATAGTACTTTCTATCGCTAATATCAAAAATACGAGCAATATACTTTTTGCAAGGCAAGCCATGAAACAATTCGAAACAAAATAGTTTTTTTATGCTAAAACTACCCGCCCCATTGAATAAATGTCGGACCCAGTTTAGGCCCATAAATCGTAGAGCGGTGGTTTCTTAATGGCTCAAAGCCCTGTTGACTCCACTGTATAGACTAAACACTGGCTCAAAGATACTATACTACGTACTACGTAAGTTGATTGGTTTAAGCTCTGGTAAAATTCCTTGCGAAATTATACTTTCGACATTTATTCATGGGGGGGTAGTACAGTAGAAGGAAATACAGTTTTCGAAAATCATCGTCAAGCATTTGAAACCTAGAGGCTCTTGGTTACAATGAAGTCAAAAAAGTCAAGCAAGTATCTAAACTATAAAAGTCGGTGTTCAGAGTAACGCATCCGTTACTACAATATAAGGCCTGAGACCAAAAGTAGCCGGTTGCCGATAGCTTTCTTTATTACCGCACGGTTATACGTAGTATTCGACGGGTAATACTTAAGCTTGTACCGTGGTATATGAAGTTATCCTTTACCGTATTACGCGTTGAGGGTAGGGTAACCTGGATCGATTAAACCGTCATGAGGCCATAAGGCAGAAACAAGCATACACGTATAACATAGCCTCCTTCGCCACTTCTCCCGCTACCTTTTCCGCTACCTCTCGCCAATCTCCTACTACCGTATCCTCTGGTTTAATAAGACCTTGGCAGGCCGTGCGGGTGGAGCCAGCCAAGTAGAGAAGCGAGAAAAAAGGATTATTCAGCCAGCAAAATCCAACGTCGAGAAGATGGTAAAGGTCAGAATTAAGCGAATTTCAATATTTTCGTTCCTTTTTGTAACTTATTTCATTTTGATAAATATATTTAAATATAAATTGCAATTAAATCTATACTTTCTATTACTTTCGATCAATTTTTATATTCGGTTCCATCATCGTCTCGTTTTCGCTTTTTCTACGAGCTTTATTAAATAATCTTAGCATATCGATCAATTCGGCGTTTTTCTTTGTAAAAAAGCCTCGGCTATTGCGCTCTTTTATTAGATCTATTAGATTTTTTTTCCGCAATTGCTCGTATTTATCGCATTCTACTCATTCGGAATCTATATATTAATCGCGTTTTGGTGGAGTTTCAATGGTGAGCAAAGATATATTAGCATATCAAGATGTAATAGCAATGCAATTCTATTCATCTTGGCTGCTTAAATGCTGTAGATTTTGATACTTGGCATTTCTGAGTCATCAATCCCTGCTAATCGGTCACTTATCGCCGGGGCCCGTCTCTACTACGCACGGCTTGCCAAGGTCTCATTTAAACCAGGGGATACGGTACTTCCTTCGCCGTTTGACTTAAAGCATATTCAACGAAATAAAACCTATTTAGCCTTTCGATAATACCGAGCACGTGCGCTCGACTTCTTTTCTGTTACCTTTATTTTTTCTTAATTTAATTTAGCTGATTATAAGCTATTTCAGCCTTTTATCGATAACGTGTATTCACTTCGAAATAAACCGCTACTTATATTGAAAAAGCTTTACGTTTATTATTACGTCACGTGTTGATTCGAGCGTGCACGTAAAGCTCTTCAAACTTCCGCTTTTAGCCTTTTTTTTTGTTACGGTCCTAGCAAGCAGGCCGTGGTTAAGAGAATAAAGGATTAGTCAGCCGAAGCTAGCGGCCGCTTAACGAGCCTCGTACGTGATACCGGTATTCGAATCAAATCAATCACGAGCGAAGCTTTAACGACTTAGCCGATTTTGCGAGCGCGTTTACCATTAGTCAATCCTTTACAAAGTAGGTAATTGATGCGGGAATGATAACGGCTACACCCGATTGAGATTAGATTGATCGGAGGTTCGGCGTCCCAGTGGCTGTCTAATGCATGTGTGCCTGTTTCTGCCTTATAGCCTCATGACGGTTTAATCGATCCCGGGTAACCAGGAGGTTTAAAGTGGAAACTAGACTTTTTTGGCACCCTCGAGTGGTCGATTATTACGTAATAGTACAGTATTTCCCATGCCTCGAATAAAGTAGAGTTGTTTTTCCTGTGCTTCAACCTACTTTTTGAGTGGGCCGCCCAGCCAAATCTACTCGGTGCTCTATATAACGAAAATTTTGCATGTATGTTTCCCTTACCATACCGATACCGTAGCTTCCTTAGTTCGAGGGTTGTACTATCTACGTAGTTGCAACGAGCGCGCCACTTGCATGTATCGTTAAAGCAGCATACGTATCTCACATAAGTCTTCTCGCTATTCGGACACTTGAGCTCCTATCGCTCGTGGATAGCTTGATTAAGTACTGCGTCTTGGAAAGCTTCTAGATTGTGAAATATATCGCCTTGCTGAATTGAAACAGGTTTCTCTTAAGAAGCTTTGAGAAATGGATCTGTATTTTTATCAAAATCGAGTATACCGAAGCCGAGGTCGTTGAATGTAGCGTCTAAAGATTCTAATAAAGTATTCAAAGGAGCGTCGGTAGTAAGGATTTCCGCTATTATAGCTAAACAAATCGCGATAATAATACCCTAAAATTGTAAAGCAGCGAGTGAAATTTGGCTGGGCGGCCCACTCAAAAAGTAGGTTGAAGCACAGGAAAAACAACTCTACTTTATTCGAGTCATGGGAAATAATCGGCCATCCTCGAGGGGTAATGCTTACGTAGGCCTGTAACGTGGCATATCCGTACGGACTTCGATCAAGATGAGGTTCTAGACCATCACGTCGAAATCTACTACGTACCTCGAACATGCTAGTAGTGGAGTTTTTCTATTTTTGTGCGGATACCTTGCCCCCAGCCACCTTTGCGTCACTACTTAGCATTGTACCCCCCGGATACTACGATCCCCCCCCATGAATAAATGTCAAAAGTATAATTTCGCAAGAGATCTTACCAGAGCTTAAACCAATCAACTTATAAGGATTCAGCTTTGAAAAGTATCTTTGAGCCAGTATTTATAGTCTATACAGTGGAGTTGACAGGGCTTTGAGCCATTAAGAAACCACCGCTCTATGATTTATGGGCCTAAACTGGGTCCGACATTTATTCATGGGGGGGGAGAGTAAGTACGTACTAGTTCTCGGTCTGAAAAATTTTATATTGTTAAAGCACCTGATATCTTGGCTGTTGACATCAAACATCCAAGGACAGATGGCCGAGCTGGTTATGGCGCCAGGTTAAGGTTTCCTTAGCAACAATCTCCTGGTCACGAAAGTGGCGTGGGTTCGAGTCCCACTCTGTTCAGCGAGTAAACTTCTGACTGTTTTTTTCACTTCCAGCTATTTTCTTCACCTTCGTTTCCTCTGGTTCCCCTCCTCGATTTCTTTCTTCCTTTTCCTTGCTGAGCTGCGCGATAAAAGAAAAACAATGAGAAAAGAGCTCTTTTTCGTTTGGTGGGTGGAGGGAATAAGCGAGCGAGCGACCGTTCTTGGCCGCGCCCTGGTTCCCTTCTCTTTCCTGTCTCCAAAGTATGCGTAGATAGGTAGATAGGTAGGTAGGTAGATTTTCCAAAGACTCTGTTCACTCAATAATTTTCGCCCCTTCTCTCTCCAGTCTACTTTGAAACAATCAGTCCCATCTTATTCATTTTGTTCGGAGCTGGCTAGGACTATTTATTATATGCGAGGAATCAGAGATAGTATAATCTTTCGGGCTTGAAGTTGAATGTGGTACTAGACTTGGGATTCAGATTCATGGGACTGTCTCTCTGACCTGGTATGGTTATGCAGCTAAGCGACGGCAGAAATCAGGCCCGTTCGATTTTACTATTTACTACAGACACAGTCTACTCGCTCTCCTCCTCACTACCCTCCTCCTCGCTACTCTCCTCCTCAACCTCCGCCTCCTTCAACCACTGCACAAAGACCCCCGTCTTCTCCCTTACCCTCCGCATCTCGCCATCCTCCTTGTCGCCCAGATTCTCGCTCGCCTTCCACCACGCCAGAAACGCCTCCTCTTCCAACACCTCGAGCTGGTACAGCTTCTGAGACACCGCGGCCAGTATCACTGCCCCGTTACTCCGATGCACCAAGTCCTTCTGCAGACACCCGATGAAATCCACTTGATCTTCCTCCAACCGGTCAGTACCAACGGCAACTTCCTTCAGAAAGCTCTCGGCGCCAGGAGAGGAAAAGGCGATGCCTGCTGCTTTCGAGGCTTCGATCTTAGACGTCTCGATCAGCTGAGTGATGCGCTTCGTAAAGGCGACTGCGATTGCGCGCCGCATTTGGTGGTCCGTAGCATCGTTTCCGAGACGGAGTCCCATGAACTCTAATCGCGCGGCACCAAAGTCCCCGCCCTCTTTCAGGGCATCGAGTAGACCAGCCACAGCATCGTGGTGGAAATTCTCGTTCGAGGAGGAGCCGGGCTCGCCGTCCTCGGAGATACTGCCGGCGAAAGAGGAGTGGCGGGACCGGCCTTCGTCGGGGGGAGAGATAGACGGCTCGGAGGTGATGGTAGAGATGGATTCCGAGGAGATGTTGAGGTGCGAGGTGCTGTAGATGAGGTTGCTGTGGAAGATGGTGGCTTCGTCTTCATCTTCGTCAGAGTCCTCGAAGAGGTAGCCTGAGCCGCCTTCGCCTACTATGGACAGGTCGGACGGTATTACAGCTGCTGATAATGAATCCGAGTCCGAGTCGTCGTCGCCTTGTCTCCGCTTGGCGCGGGTGATTCGGGAGGCTTCTTTTACTTCCTTGCCGTCTGCTATCCGGACGCCATAGGAGAGGAGAGCACCAGGCTGGATCTTGCAGTTCTTGCCGACGACAGCTTCGCTGGCGATGATGGCTCTGTCCACAACCGAACCATCGCCAACTGCGACATCGTCCCAGATGTAGGCATTCTGAATCGTGACGTTCTTACCAATCTTACACCTCCTTCCAATGATGCTGTTCGAGACCACACTCCCATCTCCAATGCTCGTATCCTTGCCCACCACTGTCCTCTTTCCCACTTTGCACGTCCGCGCAAGAATCACCCCATTCTCTTTGCAAAGCCCACCACGCTCAAACTTGTAGCTTTGGCCAGCCAGGAGGTTGCTATCCGGCACAAGAGGATAAGTCCATCTGCCGAGGATATCCTTACTCACTGCCTCATAAGACTGCAAGTTGAAGACCCTCGCCGCATAATGGTCATCCACTACCTCCGTGTGTATCGTCTTCCCATTCAGTTCATAATCCTTCAACACACCATGCAAGAAATGCCGTCTCGGGACCTCATAATCGAACGACTCCGCCCACAAAGCCAGCACATCCGGCGTGCAGATATCGATCCCGCAATCGATCAAATCGGTCCGGATCTCCAGCTCGGTATGAGCAGATATCAGTTCCGGGTCTAGATTGACGTATCTGTTTGCCTGCAACGGGTTTATCTCCTCGTAGTGTAAACACCTGCTCTTCGTCGGGTCCACCACGAAAACAGGCGTGATGCCTTTACTCTTTGTCCGATGTGTTTCCAGTCCCCCGGCGCGCAAAACCATTGTCATAATCGCATTCTTATCTGCCAGTCTCCGCGCTCTGTGAGCAGCTAACGCAGCATCGATTGGTAGATTCGATACCAAATCTCCATGTACGAGCAAAAAGTCTCCAGTGATCAAGTCCCGCGAGTCAAGATCCCGCATAGCGTCTCCGACGGATCGGGCGGTCGTCCTGACAATCTCGAGTTTTGCGAAGGGCGAGGCGGGGCAATCAGGGTGCCATTTCGAGGCTTGGATGTAGCGTTCCACGTCCGCAGTATGCGCGCCGCAGTAGATGTAAATATCTGCCACGCCAGACATGGCCAGGAATTCGAGCGTGTATTCGATCAGAGGGGTGTTGGCTAGTGGTAGTAGACACTGGTGTAGATCAGCTACTGCTCCCTTCACACAGGGCTACCTTCTGCATCTGCCAGAAGCTGGGGGGTGGCTCACTCTTGGAGTCTGCAACGTAAAAGGACTAAACCGCGTCTCGAACGAATCTGCAAGAACCTGTCCATTGTCAGTTCTCAAACCCTCTCCTCAAGCTGCACCACGGACACAATAGCACATACAACAGCCTGCAGCGTCTCGTCCCTCTCATCCTCGACCTTCTTGCCCGGCGCAGCTTTCTTTCCGCCCTTCGCAGCTCTGCCCCCGCCCCCACCGGCACCCTTCGCAGACTTTTGCGCCTGCGCCATCCTCACAATCTTCCTTCCTTCCACTTATTTCTTTGGTCAGATATCTGGATTGTATCTTCTGCTCGTTTCGTAACCTCTTGAAGTTAGTCGATGTCGCAATTGTGAAAGTGGTGAGTTTGCAGCGTAGGTATGGGAGGTGTGTAGATATATGTGCGTCGAAAGTTTTGAGTCATGGAGTGATAGTCAGAGTAACCGAGTTCGCAAAAAGCGGCGCTCAGTACTTAAGGCTGACATGACAGGGGGCGTTGCACAGATTCACCTCACTGAGGTCTAGAACCTCAACAGCAAAGCATACCTTATTGCAACGACAAGTCTTGCTTTCTGTGCTACAAAGTCATCAAGAAGCGTCTGACTGCTCGATCTCATTCCACAAGTTTCATCTTGCGCGAGAGGCAGATAGATGGCAGACAGCTTGCTACCTAACTGCCTGAGAGCACAGAACACGGTCACTGGTAACTTCAATGTCAAATCAACAGGCACATATAATGTGATTTACTTTTGTATACGCTGCAAATATTTGGCCGCACGTGCAGACCTATTAACAACTGACCTATTATCGACAGCGGTACTCCTGTGGCGCCGATTTAACCTCAACACCAAGCTGTTTTGTTTACCTGATGGTTTCGATACCTCCAAATATCGCCTCGCCCCCAAGCCTCGAACGCCGTCGAGAACGTGGACGGCAATACCCAGATTGCGCTTTTTATAAAAAACCTGGTCTTGCTCGCTCTTAAAGGCCGAAGTTTTTTTTTCCCCTGGCGTCTCATTGCGGAAACCCAGTCCCGGCCCCATAGATTCTCTGCCTCTTCTCGGGATGATTTTCAGTATCTCCACCGAGATCAGATATACCCCGTCTACGTACGCCGGGTCCGGGTTGCCCGTGTACCTGTTGTACCTGCCCCTGGACCTGCCCCTGGACCTGTCCCAGTGCAGGATTCGGAGGCGGGGGAAATCCAGCTTGCGGACGAGGTTGGGCAGTTGCCATGTTGTACTGCCGGTCATCTCCCATAGGTTGCATAAAGACACCGGGAGCTCCTCCTATCTGCGATTGTCCAGGAAGTTGACTTGGAGAATGCCATGACGTGGCTGTCACGGGCGATTTACCAGGGGACGCATCTTCATTCAAGGACTGTGTCGCCGAAATTTGTTCCATTTTCGGCCCCAGCGGTGTTTGAGCAGAGTTGTTGGGTGTTGCGAAGCCGGGATGTGCCATTTGAGGTCTTCCGGTCGGAGGGAAAGCCGCATCCTTCTTGAAGCTTGGCAGGTGCTTTTCCAAGGCTCTCAACATGCCCTCTTTTGTGAAAGGCTTGGGCAAAACATCATTCATACCTATATACTCATATCAATACCGAATTATCGAAAGGAAGCTGCCAGACTGACCGTAACGGAAGTACATGTCGATATCATCCGCTCGAATGTTGGACGTCATGGCTATGACGGGGATTTGCGGTCTCATTTCTCTTATACAGACTGTCGCAGACACGCCGTCCAAGTTAGGCATGATAATATCCATAAGGATAAGGTCAACTTGGTTATCAGAATGATTAAGCTTGTTCACGGCTTCCATTCCATCACACTAAAGGATGTCAGCGAAAACTATATATGATGGATGGCTTTACAACCCACGGCTGTCTCAACACCGCACCCGAAAGCTTCCAAAAATCTTGAACCTATATCAGCGCAAACTCTATCGTCTTCAACCAGCATAATGCGAGGCTTCTGCACTCCCCACACACAATCCTGGGGGTTCGTCTTTCTTCTACCACTAGCTTGCCCCCCCCCGGATAAAATGTTCGACATCCCCTCGGGCAACATCTCCGGCATGGGATTGGTGTTCATCATTCCATTCGCAGGCAAGGAGTAAGGTATATTGTTGATGTGCTCGCTGTTGATAGGATCAATGCCATTTGTGTGACCTACAGGGTATACCATGTTATCTAGATCGTTGGCTACAGGATACCCCATATTCGCACTCGTGTTCTCCGTATGAGGTGCCATTGAAGCCCGGGGATGATCATTCGGTGGCGTCGAGTAGTCGTGTATGAGATGGAATTCATGGCTCATCTGCTCGAGGTGCTTTTCGGGCAGGCTCTCAGCCGAAAATTTTTCAAGTAATTCCGAAGCCTGTTGCAAAGGCGATGCGGGATGGTCATCCATAACCCCGTCATTTGGTAATCCGTCGAATGAGCCTGCTCCGATGCGACTACTCCGCCGATGAGTCGCATTAACACTACGCAAAAAACCCAGCACCAGATGCATAACACCTTCATGGTTCTTGATGAACTTCTGTAGGTGAACGACTTGCTGCAGCAATGTAACATGGCCTTGGGCGAGATCTTGGTACCTCTCCGAAAGTTGTTCGAGTTGTTGTTGAGTTGCCATCAATTGGCTGTTGACGAGGTCCATCTGTTGAGAAGGGAATCCCTGATCTTCCATGTTCTGGGTTGTCTTACGCGGTGCTGGCGCCTTTCGCTTAATGCTGTCCAAAGAATCCTTCTTGTTCGCCTGAAAGTCAGGATGCTTAAACTCCCATGCCTGACGGGTGATTGATTAGTCGTAGGAGGAAGATCCGGCGGCAGGCGACTCACATTTTGCCCGTAGGGGGACTGAGTGCTGTCATCATTGTTACACCGGACCTTGTGGAAGTCATACTTGTTCAGCTGTCGCACAAAGGAAGCAAAGTTGCTATGCTTAAAATGCATAGGCAGAATTTGCTTCGTAAATCTCTCGTTCTGCAAGATATCAGCGGCGTAGGATAGACACAGACAGCTGAGAGCATACTTCGAGCACCACAAAGCTCTCGCCACCTTCTCCCCACCGTACAATCTTGGCGTAAGAAGGGTCTTCGAGCATGCTATATTGCAGCGTATTAGCCACCTGGCGCAACGACACCTCCCGCAATGGTAGATTTGTACGGGAATTTTGTATACTGACTTATACAACTTGCGAACCTGGCCCAGGATCAGTCAACAGGGTCAGGTCTAGGCCGTTCGAAAGATAATGAATGTACTTACAAAGTCGCTGGAGCTGTTGGCCGCAGGGCCCTGATCACCGCCTTTGTCCATGGTGTAGATTTCTGACGGGAGCGGTAATTTGAATGTCCTGGTGTTGCTTAGCCGTGGCCGAGGTCTCGAACGTTCTCCACGTCAAGGGGTTGGAGGGGTTGTTGTAAGTGTGTAGCGCAGAAACGCGGTCGGATAATGGCGACGTTGGGAAGCGGGTGCGGCGGTTGAGGTGGGGGGGGGGGGGGGGAGCGATCGGTCGGTGATGCTCCTACTTAATCTTGCGTTGAAGCCCTCGACATGGCGTTGGGGGGTGGGTGGCGTGGGCAGGGCGATGTTGAACGAGGTCGAGGTCGAGGTCGAGGTCGAGATCGGCGGGGGTGCGGCGGCAGGCGTGCGATGCAGAGATATATTCTTTGTTCTTTATCGCTAATTGATTGAGTTGGATTGGGTTGAGGTGAGGTGAGGTGCAATGGGTTGAGTTGAGTTGATCTGAGTTGAGTTGAGTTGCGTACGGAACAGTGTGGCGAGGGAGGGGGTCGTGGTGGTGGTGGTGGTGGTCGTGGTCGTCGTCGCGGTCGTGGTCGTGGTCGTCGTCGCGGACTTTGAAATGGTGTGGGAACCTTGACGATGATCGTTGGCTTCTGGACGGATACAACATGTTTATCCACTTGCCTTGCGATGATGTTAACAGGCCCGCACTGAGCAAGGGTCAGTTAGAGAAGCGACAGATTAATAAACAGACCCCCCCTCCCCACCTCCCTCGATGAGACGGGTGATTGGCATTTCGGGCTGGACGAGGGTCCCATCAAGGAAAAAGAGCCGTGGCTGTATTGCACCCTGAAAATGATTCAAATATTGGCTCAAGCGAGAAATCCGAGCGTCCGTAAACATGAAATTATACGGAGCAACTACCGTACCTAGGCAGGTACTTATCCCTTTTGACTTTCTACCTCCACCAAATGCCCCTTACCAATATTTGGGATATCTTGGTGTCGCTAAGGAGAAGCAAAGGAGAGAGAGAAGAGGTAGGTACTTCTGTTGTACCGTAGGTACTTATGTTGTACCTGATCATAATCATCACAGCACACGAGCAACTTCGCTCAGTCGAAACTCGAAAGCCCTTATCCGTACGGAATAACTAAAGTTTCAGGGGACCCGACTAGGACCCGGACCAGGACTCGGCCCTTACTTGACAGTCTTGCGAATTTTGAATGCGCTAATTAGCTCGAAAATGCCCCTATTTCCGAGGGAAAAGGCGAATCTCCGTAATAGGTAGGAGATCCATACTGTATAGGTACTCGCTCGTATCAGGCACCAACCATCCGCTAATCTGTCCATTCTACTGGTATGGAGTCCGCTGTATCGCAAGAAGTGAAGAACAGTGCTCATGGGAAACAACACCAGTGACAAGAAATGCAGCCCAGGTGCATTTTAAAGAAACGACTGGGAAAATGATGTCGCTGCAAAATATGGATAACAAGTCAGTTCGCTAGCATCGCCCCTGCGGTGATCTCTGTCATCCAAGATTTGACCAAGATAGGTACCTAGGTAGATGTCCGTACGGAAATGTCATGGACTTCGACTTCGACTGTTGTAATGACCGTGCGCCAATAAGGCAAGCTGTCGACTACTCTCATTGGCATTGAATGTCTCTGCCCTGCCAAAGAATAAAGAGGCACGGGAAAGAAAACGTGAACTAGGTGCTCAAGACAAAGATTCTCCGGGATCTGGAGCACTGGACTGCATGCACCAACTGTTCCTGGAAATACTTAAGTATTCTGATGCCAACTGTGATATATATTAGCAGCCAGACAAAACTGTATCAATCGACCTGAGGCTCCTGATGACCTCCACATCAGATACAGGACAGTTCAGAATCGGTTGCAGCAATCAGATTTTCCCCGTGCGCAACTCCGGTGCGATCACTGAATCAGAGACTGAGAGGATTCCTTCTCGTTGCTTGCTCACGGCGGGTTTGTTCTGACAAGGCACTGGCAATGGATGTGCCCAAGTGCTCGCTGACTTGACAGACGCGGCTACATGGCGCCTCGCAACCGGTGAAACCATATTGAAAAAGTCGTGATGTGATGTGTTTGATATCCGTCGCCAGGCCAGGGGAATCCATTCTTAGGTACTCACGCTACGAGTAGCGCGCCTACGACCACTTGAAGCGAGGCTGAGAACTTCGTGATCGCAACAATTTCAACCGACGATCCGATCGAACGGAAATATCCCTTTCCAACCTTCAACTCAACTCACGCACTACCTCACTACCAGACCGCCAGGAGAACTGCGAGAAAAAGTGCAGACTCCTTGGCCCGTCCTCCCAAAAGTGATTGGATTCCTCCGCACGTCGCGTTTTGTAAGCGCAGCCTCGTTCCACAAGATGGCGCGCAACGTTTATGGCTATGGCAATGGCCCTCAGGGTCCATACACCTTGACTGCGCTCAACAGATGGTCTGTTGCAGATAAAGCTCAACTGCCAGGTAGGATGGTGCTATCGGCCTCTGCAAGCACGTATTAATCCGCACGCAGCGATGGAGAAGATCAAGGCCTTGCACGTCTATGATTTTGATAATACCCGTTAGTGCCCACCCACCTGTACCTTGGATGGCCGTGTGCTTATCTCTTCTACAAGTATTCAATAGCCCTCTCCCAAATCCGAAACTATGGAATGGACCCTCGATCGGCTTTCTACAGTCCCAGGATACATTTAATGCGGGTGGTTGGTGGCACGACTCGAGAATTCTAGCCGCGACCGGTGAAGGTGTTGAGAAGGAAGAGCCGCGTGCCTGGGAGGGATGGTGGAACGAGAAGATCGTCGAGTTGATCCAGCTCAGCATGCAACAAAAAGACGCCGTGACGGTTCTGCTCACTGGGCGCTCCGAAAAGGGATTCACCGAGTTGCTTAAAAAGATGATCGCAAGCAAAGGTCTTGACTTTGACATCATCGCACTGAAGCCAGCTGCGGGACCCAACAACCAACAGTTCTCAAGTACCATGAAATTCAAGCAAGTTTTTCTAGAGACTTTGATGGAATCTTACAAAGGTGCGGAAGAAATCAGAGTCTACGAAGACAGAGTCAAACATACCAAGGGTTTCAGAGAATTCTTCACGGACTACAACAAGCGGCAGAATGGTGCGAATGGAAGTATTCCAACTCGAGGCCCAATCGTCGCTGAAGTTGTTCAGGTAGCTGAGAGCGCTACCCATCTTGATCCTGTCCAAGAAGCTGCAGAGGTCCAACGCTTGATCAACGATCACAATGCGTCCATTGGCAGTGGAGACCAGCGTTCTCGTTTTGCTATCAAGAAAACAGTCTACTATACCGGCTATTTGATCAGCAACACTGACACACAAAAGCTACTTACTCTAGCTCAGCTCCCCTCTAAAATGCCCGACACCGAGATGAAATTCCTCGCCAATAATATCCTCATCACGCCCCGCCCCGCCCCTCAGAGTATCCTCGACAAAGTCGGCGGTATAGGCAGCAAGATGAGTTGGGTAGTAACCGGAACCGCCGTCTTCGAAAGTAAGATATGGGCTGCATCCGTCCGCCCCGTCTCATCCAATATAAGCTACTACACCGAAAATCCCGTCCCCATGGTCGTGCTTGCGCTCCGCAAAGGCGCTCGCCCTGTTGACGCAGGTAAGATCCAGAACTGGCAGCCTGTGCCTCAAGACAAGCAGTACGTGTTTGAGAGCACGGTGGGCGAGAAGGTCTTGCTTCGCATCGAGGCGGAGGACCAGAGCGAGACTTCGTATGAGAGCCTTTTCCCCAGCAAGACTCATAAGCGCAAGCATGCGCCGGACCCTGACGACGCTAGCAGGCGAGATGGTGGTCCGTATGGCCATCCTACAGGTGGTGGCAGAGGTGGCTATCAGCACGAAAACCACCGTGGAGGTGGGGCAGGTCGAGGTGGTCGGGGCTCTCATCGTGGTCAGCGTGGAAATCGTGGTGGTGCAGGTAAGGGGAATGGTGGTCGAGGTAAGGGCCGTGGAGGGTACAAGAATTACCAATCTCTTGACGATGTCGGAGAGAAGGGTAACAACACGCCCACCTACAACGCCGCCGTGTCGTACGAGGAGTTCCCGCCCTTGCAAAAGCAATATCAGACTCCTCAGCAGCTCGTCCAGCAGCAATTCCAGCAGTACCAACAATACCAGCAACAGATGCAGGCCAGGAACGGAAACGGTAACAAGGGCGGCAATGGTAATGGTAATGGGGATCTGCAGTACTCGTAAATCTCGACCGGAATCTTCATTGATCATTGTATTTGAGCGATTTGTACATTACTGCATCGGCTGAGACGGATATTTTTGGTATTGCATAGCTGGGTGGGGTCAGGAGTAAAGAACGTATGTATATGGCTTAGATATGGCTTATGCCTCCTGCCTTGTAGGTAGATCTCTTCCCTATCTCCACGGCAGGCATATGCCAGTAGCTCATTGAATAATACTTGTATTGCAAAATCTGTTATTCTTTCCGGAATCACACGGAATACGGCGAGGTAACTGATAGGGAAACACTTTCTGCTTTCCCAAGCTGCACGATTGGACTAATAAATATGTTGGTTGAGTAAGTAAAAGGAGCTGCTCCGTACATTCTCTTTCGACATCTTGGTTCTGTGATTCGAGGAGAACCTTGCATGGTGTTTGGGAGGGGGTGGTTGGGATTAGGAGGGGGGATTTTTTTTTCTTTTTCTCTTTTCTTTGAGAACGTAGAGATATGCTTCATGTCCGACGTAGTCGCTCTATTGTCCCAGGGCGTTGCGAGATGAGAATTCGAGCGGTGTGGTGTGAAGGTTTGGAACGGTAGCCGGTGTGAGTGTGCTTCACACTATCACTACTTCGCAGAGCGACGCAGAGCGACGCAGAGCGACGCAGAGCGAAGGACATTGAGAGAGAGCGAAACAAGCAAGCAAGCAAGCAAGTGACTTGCCAACCGAATACAAAACACGAAGCACAAAATACAGAGCATTATCTAGCTTCTTCGATATCCATATTCGTGACTTTTTCTAATGTTGGACATACCGGCCGGCCCGAAACTGCAGCTCTCTAAATTTCTCAGTCCAAGCTGATTTTTTTTCTTTATTCTCGTCTATGTCTCTCTATTCTATTATATTCTAGAGATCTATGCTCTAATCGAATAACTTAAATTCCTACATCTCTCCCCTCTATCTTGCTTGAATTCAGCTCATCCTTCCTCTGCGGCTCCAGCTCCCGCACGATCCACTCATACACAGCCCACTGCGCCGCGTTCACCACGAACGCCCTCGTGCTGCACACGCCCAGCCCTCTGAAGAATACCCCTACGCCCTCGCTGCGGTACGCATTTCTTGCTATGGCTACAGCTCCCAGTCTCTGCGATCCGGTTGCTTCGCCTGCTAGTAAGGGGGCAGCTTCTCCCGGGCTGCTGACGCGTATTACGACGGCTTGTTGAGTTTGAACGCGGGTTTTGATGACGTCCAGTGGGAAGATGCTCGCCCACGTTACCACGCCGGCGATTCCTCCGCACAGCAGGACCTTCGCGGCTTCTTCCAACCGGGTACCGGCTTCTCCGCGCTCCTTCATCTTCTGGACCATGAATCTGGTCGTGAGCTCGTAGCTCCAGAAGTAGAAGCCATAGCCGACGCTATCTCTCAGAGCGGTCACCACGCCCCCGAAATACAAGCCTCGGACCCCTTCTGTGCGCAGAATTTCTTTGGTAATGCCCCAACTTGAGGCAGCGGCTGAGGTGGTGGATATCTGAGCGCGGCATTTGACGATTTCGGTGGGGGTGGAGATGACCCACGTTGCGAGGCCGCCGATGGCACCTGCTATCCAAGTTGTCCAGAGGTTTGAGGGACTAGATGGTGACTGGGAGTTGAGGAGGGTGCTGGTGCGGTTGTATGTTACGAAGAGCAGGGCGTTGAGAGCGCCGTAGCCGATTATTGGAGCTGTTGCTCCCCGGATGAGGGAGGAGGCGGACTGAAATTGCGTCCTGTAGGATGATGGGGGTAGTGGTACTCCGGTTGAGAGAGAAGGTGTCGAGAGAGCTGGTGAGGCCTGGAGACGGACTTTGATGAGGTCGAGAGGGTTTCCAATGAGAATCCCGGCTGCGCCACTGATGTAGCCGGCCCAAAAATCGGCTGACATGGCGTAGAATATATACAAGAGAGAGCGCCAAAGACTGGGTTGAGATTATTGCATAACCATGATATACAACATCGAAATATCAACTCAAAGCCGAGAAGTTGAAGGATCCCCCGCTTACTGCAGAGCCTCCTCTGACTTCTTTACCCAGTGTTTTCTTTGAGCTGAAACCGGCAAGACTGGGCCCGAAGAATCCCGAATCGACCTCTTCGCCAACGTGATCTGAGTGAGAAGTCCCAGGAAAATGGCTGCCCACCCCAGGCCAGCTCTGAGCGGCCGGGGAACAGAAGCAAGTCTTGGGAATGTAGAGCTTAACGGCTCATAGGTTGGTGTCGTCCGACGTATATACTGGTGATGGGCGACTTGCAGTGCAAAAGTTCCCATAAGAATAGGACTTTGGTATTTCGCACAGAGCTTGTCCATGGCTGTGGGCGGAGGCGGCGGGGCCATTTGATCGAACCCTACTAGCGAGGAGCGGCGGATAGCTAAATGATAAATGGACCTGGGGGAGGTGAGGCGAAAAAAGAGGCAGAAAAGAAACCGAAGAAACAGTTCTATAATCGGAGAATGTAGCGTGTAGGAAACATGAGGAATGTCAAAATTTCATGAAACTTCCAAGGGATGAACCTGTGTACCATTCACATCTATTTCAATGACAGTGCACGACGTCGTCCCGGTTATCTCCTACCTGCCAAGGACTCGTTTCGTGCCTTGCCTATGCAGCCACGTGATGCGGTGACCTCGAGACGCGCTTGACGCGTTTTGTTTTCATCCATCCCCGCCACTCAATCCTAACGCCCCTATATCTACCATCCACGACAATCAGACCGCCACTGGAGCATGATCCTGTTTGAACACCGATTAAATTGAGCCAGCGCTGAACCGTCAAGATGATCATCACTCCGCCTGATGAGCTAACAACAAGTACGCCTGCGCCGACGATGTTCATCACTCCGCCTGACGAAGTAGCAGCAAGTACGCCTGCGCCGACGAAGAAACGCCTTGGGATTCACAGAGGAACACCCCAGACCGTTGATAAACTGAAGAAGCCATTCGGGCTTACTCTGAATGAAGATAAGGAGAACACTTATCCCACGCCTCCTGCAAAAGCATCGGCTCCTCAAGGCTCTCAGCGTCTTTACACCCCTCAATCCGTGGACAAGCTCGTGAAACCCTTCAGATGTCCAGGATCCGCGACTATCATACGCGCATCCGTGAAGCCGGCGCGAAAGCGAAGAAAGGTTGACTATGGAGGTGCGGATGGAGAACAGGAGGATGGAGATAAACCCTGGACGAACGAGGATCGATTGGCCCTTGCGAACAGAGAATCGAACAAGTTCCCGGTATTCCAGGTCAAGGACAAGGACACGATGTTCAGAAAGGCATTCGCCGTTCCGCTGGCAAATAAGAGCCTCCCATCCTACAATCCGAATCGACCTCCTCCCACTCTCGGTCTCAGGCAGGGAGCAGTCTTCATTGCAAAGCCGCTACATGATCCCAGTGGCGAGTTCGCAATTGTCCTCTACGATCCGACCATCGATGAGAAGCCTAGGACCATTGAGGAGGCTAGGAAGGCTGAAAGTGGTGAACCACCAAAGATAAAGGAGCCTCTCGTACACAAGTCACTGGCGGAGATTCTGGGAATCAAAAAGGTTGTCGAGAGCGAAAGGCCGAAGGTTCCTGTTGTCATTGACCCTCGACTATCGAAGGTTCTACGGCCCCATCAGATCGAAGGTGTGAAATTCATGTACCGGTGTGTTACTGGAATGATCGAGGACAACGCAAATGGTTGCATTATGGCCGATGAAATGGGTCTCGGCAAGACTTTGCAATGCATTGCCCTGATGTGGACGCTGTTGAAGCAGTCTCCTGAAGCTGGAAAGCCCACAATTCAGAAGGCTATTATTGCATGCCCTTCTAGCCTGGTGAAGAATTGGGCGAACGAACTTGTCAAATGGCTTGGACCAGATGCTATCCAGCCATTCGCTATCGATGGCAAGGCTTCCAAAGAGGAACTGCAACAACAACTACGACAGTGGGCTATCGCCAGCGGCCGATCGGTTACCAGACCAGTTATCATCGTTTCCTACGAGACTCTGCGGCTTAATGTGGAGGAGTTGAAGAACACGAAGATTGGACTCATGCTCTGCGATGAAGGCCATCGGTTAAAGAACGGCGACAGTCAGACCTTTACGGCACTCAACGGCCTCAATGTATCGAGAAGAGTAATCTTGTCCGGAACACCAATTCAGAACGATCTTACAGAGTACTTTTCACTCATCAGCTTCGCCAATCCTGGCCTCCTCGGCACGCGGATGGAATTCCGCAAGAAGTACGAGTTGCCGATTCTCAAAGGACGAGATGCTGCGGGAAGCGACAAGGATCGTCAGAAGGGTGACGATACTGTGCGCGAGCTGCTAGGCATAGTCAATAAGTTCATCATCAGACGGACCAACGATATTCTATCCAAATATCTACCAGTCAAATACGAGCATGTGGTATTTTGCAACCTGGCTCCTTTCCAGCTCGACCTATACAACCATTTCATCAGTAGTCCCGACATCAAGGCTTTGCTTCGAGGCAAGGGAAGTCAGCCTCTCAAGGCTATTGGATTACTAAAGAAGCTTTGCAATCATCCGGACTTGCTCAACCTTCCGGAAGACCTACCTGGATGTGATAAGTATTTACCCGATGACTACGTTCCGAAGGAATCCCGAGGAAGAGACCGAGATATCAGACCATGGTACTCAGGAAAGATGCAAGTCTTGGATCGAATGCTTGCACGGATCCGCCAGGACACGAACGACAAGATTGTCCTGATTAGCAATTACACACAAACCCTTGACATGTTTGACAAGCTTTGTCGTGATCGAGGTTATGGTAGTCTTCGCCTTGACGGTACGATGAATGTAACCAAGCGACAAAAGCTTGTAGACAGGTTCAATAACCCTGAGGGAAGCGAATTCGTCTTCCTCCTTAGTAGTAAAGCCGGAGGATGTGGTCTCAATCTTATCGGGGCGAACAGACTCGTTCTCTTCGATCCAGACTGGAATCCTGCCGCTGATCAACAAGCTCTTGCACGAGTTTGGCGTGATGGTCAGAAGAAAGACTGTTTCGTGTACCGCTTTATCGCGACAGGAACGATTGAGGAGAAGATATTCCAACGGCAATCGCACAAGCAATCATTGTCTTCATGTGTCGTTGATTCCGCCGAGGATGTGGAACGTCACTTCACTCTTGACAGCTTGCGTGAGCTGTTCCAGTACCACGGCAAGACCACCAGTGATACGCACGACACGTTCAAGTGCAAACGGTGCAAGCCCGATGGAAAGCAGTACATCAAGGCTCCGGCAATGATGTACGGTGATACGAGTACATGGAATCACTTTGTCAATGAGGGACTGAAAACGATCCAGGATTTGCTGCTGAGACAGGAGTGTGGGGACGAAGCTGTGTCTGCTGTATTCCAGTATATATCCCATTAATGCATCTTATTGCTGTTATATATTAGCAGGCTGATATAATCTTTTGGGCGTTTGGGCGTTTGGGCGAATGAAGATGGGCAAGATGGGCAAGATGGGCACGTCGGCGACGGCGTAACTGTATCCATTTGATTGGCAACTGCAAGCGGGTTATGGTACTGGGTGAGCGAATACAGCCGTGCTTGAAAAAATGGGTAGCATTTACAGTACCAACAAAGATACGATTGTTTTCATTTCCCTTCCTCTGTAAGAAACGAGTGACATATCGCTTGTAACGCCCCATGAGATCTAGTCGATTGGGTGGTACAGATTGGGAAGGCGCGTCCCTGCGCTGTACAGGAATGCAAAAGTGACAGGTTCCCCACATATCGAGTACCGCCGAAATGTGATTCTGTCTAGCGACCTCGATGGCGCCCTGTCTTTAAGGGGGGTGGAATGGCAAGGAAGGTAGGAAGGTAGGAAGGTAGGTAGGAAAGGTAGGAAAGGTAGGAAGGATGGTAAGTACCGTAGGTAGGTGAATAAATGGTCGAATCCGGCGACCTCGCTTCCATGACTGGGCGGATCGGGGCTGGCTGCAGATCGGCAAGTCAACAAGGGGCAATAAGCGAAAGATATATATATATTAACTGGTCTTCACACAGGCGCGTCTCGGAACTTTAGATACAAAGATGAAGGATACTGCTTTGTAGCCGTATATTGGTGGCTAGGCGGGCGGGCGAGCGGACGGCCCTTACGGGGTATACGACAAGGCTGGGCAGACGGAGAGCTCGTCGTTGGAGAGAGGAAGGTTGCTGAGCCAACTCTTTTTTTTTATCGTCTTGTTCGCAGGGCTGCGGATTTGGAAGGTGGCGGTTTGTATAAATAGGTGTGAGATAGGAAAGGGGAGAGGAAAGGGGAGAGGAAAAGAAAGGGGAAGGGGTATCTTGATTGTCTTCATATATACAACCCACTACTCACTGCTCAGATCTCGGGATATGATTCATCAATGGAAATTTCTTTCGACAGAATCATGTCAGTTGACGATACGTTTCATCTTAGACCCAGTCACAGATTCGTCCGAGAAACGCCGCATTCATCTTGTTTTGGCGGCGGCAATATGGCAATAGTGGAATCTCAGAGATTGATTTGAAGAGACGACTGCATAACATCCTGTGTTGGTGGAGTATATAGCCACTCGATCTCCTCGAATCAGCCCTTAAAAACAGGTTTGGGGGTTTCGCTGGCGATGAATCTTCATTCGATCTTCATACCAATTGAACGGTTCTATAACCGCTGGAATACCAGTAAATGGTTTCGAGGGAAGAAGATTCAAATTTCCCCGTTTGGCAAAAATCGAAAAGTTCGTGGGGAGGTGGACTGTCTCATCTGAGAGTGTGCGATGTGGCAGTACCCCTTCTTCGGAGAGCACGAATAGTAGGCGGGCTTTCGGAGATATTTGGAAGACATACTCACGGAGGCTAGCTTGAGGTTTAATAGCTGTAGCTTTCGCCCAATCACAACCAAAATGCCCTGCGCTCCCAGCGGTGAAAATGTTTCTCCACTGCGAACAGGTGCGCGTAAGGTTTCTCAAGCCGAGGCCGAAGTGGATAAGGAATATGCTTCTACAAAAGAATTACAAATTTTTAGTAGACTTACGGAAGAAATGCATGATATATGCGGCAAATCATAAACCATCATGTTGGGTATTTCTCTCAGCTCGTTCATTGTCCCCCGTGTGCCGCTGTTGCCTGTGATTCCCATACACTCCACCATACTCCCATATTCGAGGCGACTACCAAGTCCAGCATTTTGAGCCCTTCATCGTGGATGATAAGCTTGCCAAGTTTCACGCGCTTTCCACGGATGCCACCCCCTGCTTTCTCCTGGCCGATACTGAGATCAAGACGGCCATAGTCCTCGTCTTCTTCGCTGGCCGGCTTAGCGGTGTAGGGGAACGGGTGTCTCCTCCGTGGGATTGGAGGCGCCGTATCATCTTCTGTTGAGTAGCTTGAGCTTGCTGGCGAATGCGGTCTAGGCGGAAGCTGTGGCGGCTCTTCGTCTCCACTAGGGTAGAGAGATGCATGGTAACTTGAAAGTGGACGGGATGGAAGAGATGATTGAGGTATCTTGTGACTAGATAGTTTATCCCGAATATGATTGAGCTTGGGAATAATGAACCGACCAGCATCTACCCCTTTTTTCATGGGAGACAACCCTTGGAAGATAGCTGAGGAGGGTAAGTTGAATCGCAATTCACTTACAGTCGTCGAAGACTGTAAAGAGGAAGATGTATCGGACGCGTTGAATGCTGATACAGGTCCCGGAAGGCTGTGTTTACACCGCAGGGACCGGCCCCCTGGCCCTGTTGAGAATTTGCATCGACCTCCCCAGGGACTGAGAAATACATAGCCCTTAGACTGCGATTCCTCGATATCCGCAGGGATGTGCGGTGCTCTTCCAGGAGAGCTCCCACTTGCGCTTCTACCACGTGCAGTAATTGTGTGATTGTCCGAGATATCAGAAAGTGCTCTTTTGTGCTGCATAGAAGAGCGGTTCCAGAAGCTGGACCCTTCCATGCGAACCTGTCGATCAAAGCCAGAGTTCGATTCTGGGTGCACGTGTGACTTCCCTTTATTGGGCATGGACACAGTCGCTCTGGGACCTGCTACATTATCTCCCGAGTCACTACCAGTGGTCTGTGAACGGCGGAAATAGCCGTACCCAGGGGTTGTGAGGTGAACTGACAGGTCGAAATAAGGTTTCTTGACCCGCGCTAAAGGTTTGACTCGCCGAATCTGTGCTTCGTCGGGCGAGGGTGTGCCAGTTACGCTTCCTATGTTCCATTGCGCTCCTGATGTAGGGTCTCGACGGATAAGAGTGATGGAGAAAGCATCAGAAGAAATATCGGGAGCCTCTAAGTTTCCATCATTCAAATCGCTAGACGTAGCAGTATCAGTGCTTGTCCTTGGAGGATGGCCTCTGTCCTGGGACAGAGATGAAGAGCTCAGGGGCCTGTTTTCGGCTCCTGGCAAGTGTTTCCTCCCAATTGAGTACTCTGATTGGCTAGGTCTCGGCTCCAAGGGCCCTCTATTCACTGCATCGATTTGATGCACTTGTGATGGCTTTAGTGTTGAACTTTCAGATCGAACAGGCTTCCGTCTCAGTTGTGACGAGACTGTCAACTGACGACTGAGATCAAGCGAAGATCTCGCAGACTCTGGAAGCGGTTTCCGCACGAGATCAAATGACGATCTAGCAGAGTCCGGAAGAGGTTTGCGTGGGAATTGCTTATTCGCAACAGGGGACAATGGCTCTTCAGCTGTGATGCCTGGGTCCTCTTCAAGAAGACGGGCATCGTCTGGTGTATCAAGATGCAGATAATACAGAGAGGAAGCAACATCTTCAGCTGTCACGTTTTTTAGCCGTGGCTTAAGAGTCGTGAGGATAATATCTTGCATATGGTCAGTAGGTACTTCCAAAGTGTAAGTTTGACCTACCTCTACTCCCGGGCACACGAGCGATGTACAACGTTAAGGGTGGCCTCTTCGCTTCAGTTGGGTTCCGTGGGTATTTCGGGGGATTTCCAGCTATTTGTGTGATGTCGGACAGCGAGTTTGCCTCGATGCTGGGAATCATTTTTCTCTATGTACCGGCAGGAATGAGGTCTCAAAAGGCAGTGTGAGTAGCTCTTTGTAGGTAGTGATGGTGAAGAAGAAGAAGGGGAAGAAGAAGAGAGGAGGGGAGGGAGGAGGAGGAGGAGGAGGAGGAGGAGGAGGAGGAGGAGGAGAAG